GATGGCGGGTGCCGCAGGGAGTGCCTTGGCCTTGGCATTCGGCTTCGCTGGAGCTGCCTTTGCTTCGGATTTGGCTTTAGCTTTTGCCTTTGGTTCCGGAGCTGGGGTAGCTGCTGCCTCATGCTTGAAAGGACAATTCTCTCTTGAGCACGAGCCTGTGTTCTTGAACGAGTAGCATATCCTATTTCCTCCTCCTCCAGACGGACTTGGAGTTCTCGTCCTCGGCGTAAAGGGTCGCTCTGGAGTCTTCTTCGAGTGACTGAATGGGCACTTGTCACCATTTCGACACCCTGCATCTGTGAAATGGAACTTGCAGCGGATTTGCTTCTTGCTCTTGTCGCCTCTGTTGTCCGCTGACTCACTCCTCGTCTTCTTCTTGGGCTTTGGCTTGGTCTTCGCATGACTCTTCGCTTTGCTTTGAGGTAGTACAGGTGTTGCTTTATCCGGCTTGGTAGGCGAAGCTTTGACCTTTGCGGATGGAGCTGCGTTAGGCGTTGGTTTCTCAGGTACCTTGGCCGGTGCAGCGAGCAAATCCTTGCCCTCAAGCATCTGGCGCAAACCAATTTGGGTCTGAGTGAGATTTGATTGTTCTCGTCTCCGCATGATGGTACGGTCGATGATCTTCATCAGATTGTCGTACGATCGGTCTTCATGATTGTAGGGCAAGTGTTCGTAGTGCATGCCCAACTCCATCTTCATTGCGGGCGAGTCCTTGATCTTGCTGTACAAGCAATCACGGAGAGCTGTTTTGGATGGTATGTCTTCTGGCCTCATCCGTCCCAGAACTTCCAACCACGTCTGCTTGAACGTATGAAGTTTGTTGTCGCCTTGGTACTGGAGCTTCACCAGATACTCGAGAGTGATGATCATGTCGAGACGATCGTGCGTTCGAAAACTTTCATACATCATCGCAATGATTTGTCGTCCTTTGATGATCTTCCCTTCGGGCCTGCTGATGTAATCGTTGGCCTTCCGGTTCACCTCCAGGTACAGATCAGCAGATTTGTCACCACCAGCGCGTAGCATTGCGACCATGGCGATCCCCAATTTGACGTCTACGCTCTTGAACTTCTTGTGTCCTGAATCGTTCAGTGCTTCGACATCAGGGAATGGATTGAACGCTGGTGCCAGCCATAACATCCAGTCCTCATGATTTGGGTCGGCTGATGCTCCTAAGACATTCGCCGTGCATACGGATCGCCAGTTGTTGAGGTGAGTGAGAGTAGGCCATGGAGGAACGGTCACTTTATCGGCCTCCCTCCTGGAAATTCTCACCTCTGTGACTTCAGGATCTGCGTCTCCATCAGGATCACGCGCATGAGAGCCAGGATCCGATTCAGGTTTGCCTCCACCGCTTCTCTTCTTATCATCATCGTCATCATCAGGCGGATCTGGAGGATCATACCCCGTGCCGGTTCCCTTCATCATGCTCTCCCTCTCCGTTCTCGTCGCCAGCTTCATCACCGTCATCGTCTCCATTGTCTTCCTGAATCGTTTCAGCGAATAATCTCCACTCATCACGATCAGCTCTGAGACGCTGTTCGGCTTTCTGGGCCTTGAGTACTTCGCTTCGCAGATCGGCAATCTTCTCTTTCGTACCGTTCCGCGACCTCTTTCTCGATCTGACGCCTCCTTGCCTCATGGATGGAATCGTCATAGGCGACCGGGGGACCAATGAGGTCGTTGCCCTTCGTAGATGCGATAATGCCGTCGATACCAACAGGTCTTGAGGGGCTGGCAGATGCTGTGGACTTCGATCCCAACATCCCGCGATCCTCCAAGAGTTCGCGTAGCTGTCGATCACGCACGGCTGCCGCATCACTTTTCCCATGAAATCCGCTTGGTATGCCAAACAGAGTGGCTGCACTAGGCGTGGAACGCGCAAGTGCTGGGCTGCTAATACCTGGCACGTAGTGCTCGGGCATTGCATCCGCCACGATTGGCGTTGAATTGCGGCCAGTGAAGAAGTTTCCACCGGTGAATGGAATTCCATCCATGCAAGGTTCTTGTCCTTGTCCGATTCCGAGAATGCGAACTTCTCTTTGGCGACTGGACTAACTTGACTTGGGGACCGTATTTCAGGGGATCGTACCTCACCTCCTACGGAAAATGCAGGCACTACTTCCTTTCCTACGTGCTCCCAGCCAGACTCAGTAGTCCTCGAAGACATGGGCATGCTCGAAGGCCGTGTCGCTCCGCCATAGTTGGAGTTCCGCGCTGCCTCCAATTCGCTGCGTGTCCTCGCTTGAAGATCTTCTTGTGCTTTGAGTGTTTTCCTGAGTTCACTCAGCTCGTCGTGCAAGGTAGGCAATGCGCGCCTTGCATGATCTTCATTCTGATGAAGTCGGTCCTCTGCATCTTGCATCCTCCTCACAGCCATTTTGCGGTACTCTTCCTCTTCACCAAGACGTTCGCGAAGCCGAAGTCGTTCTTGATCAATGGCTGCGCTGTTCCCAGCTAGCCCTTGGATCTCGTTCACGGCCCGCAACTCCTGATTCTTGACCAAGTGGAATCGTTCCTGCATTGCTTGTAAGGCTTGTTCCGAACTTGCTGTGTTCGACCGGAGGAACAAGTTCTCTCTGGCATGTTCATGAAGTTCATGAGTCAGACGCTCATACTCACGTGCCATAAGCTCACCATCGCCTTGCGCTCTTGCCTCCAACTGCACAAAGTTAGTGGCTGCTTCCGTGCGAAACACATGTAGCTGCTGAGCCAACTCCTCGGCAACGGCGTGTGCTTGACGTTGTTGAGCAGAGTTCTGTTCATCCATGCGAAACAAAGCTGCTTCATAGTCTCGCTTCATCTCCTGATTGACATTGTTGATGTGCCTCATGGCTAAGCATGCATGGTCACGTTGTCGTTCCAATTCTTCGATGCGAATCCCAGATCCTTCATCTTCTTGTTGCATCTCCTTGATCTTATCCATCAGGGTCTGGACAACTCCTTCGTACTCTTGCATCTGACTGCGATAGTACATCTGCTGCGCAAGGTTCGATGCTTCGAGCTGTTGCGAAATCGTCAGTTCCTGATAGGCATTCGGACCATCGGCTATGGCTGGCGTGGTCACCGATGACGCATCACCACGTGCAGGAATAGTGTCCAGAGTCATATCCAGATCGTCAGCATCGCGTGGTTGATTGGTAACCATCCGATTCCAAGTCATGGACTTGTCACGCCCACGAGTAGCCGAAGTCCTTGATCGTGCTGAAGAGCTTCTCGAAGATGATGGTCTTGACTTCTTTTCCAAGGTCTTCACTCCTTTGTCCTTGGCCCTGGACGTAGTCCGAGGTGCCTGAAAACCAGACGCTTCGGCTCGTCGTTCTGGAGCCTTGCCCGTCCTCGAACCTGTGGATGTCGGACGCGAAGGCGTAGATGCTCTTGGTAGACTCTTTGCTTTCACCTTGGGAACTGCCTTTGCAATGGCAAGCGCAGAAGATTGACCTTTGTCATCTTCCGTGGAGCTATCAACGGATTGCACCACTGTGTCATCAGCTGTTGACTCACCAACGGCTGGCGCTGCCACATCGGCACCGAAAGTCATTGTCGTATCTTGGCTTGATCCCGAGTTCATTGTGGTCGTAGTAGATCAAGTAGTCGTTGCTGTAGAAAGGCAGAGCCGCGTACGGCTGATAACCTGCGTGGGGATTTGATCTCGATTGTGTTGCTGCTCTCCCCACCAGAGCTGTAATGAATATAGGTGTGGCTGGCTTGCACTCTCCACAGACTGGACCCTGTCTCTCTCTCACACTTCCACACGTGCAATCCTATGCAGGCAGAACCGGCGGCCGTTCCTTTTGCACTCGCTGCCGGCGGCGGTTCGTCTGTGCACGGGATAGCTCTGATTGCTCAGGATAGAAGACACATATAGCACTTAGCTATGGGCATTGACTTGAGCCAAACGTTGCGTGGGCGGTCACATAGAAAGGTAAAGTCGAGGGACGCGTAGCGTACCCCCTTAGAGTCGAGGGACGCGTAGCGTGCCCCCTTCTCTTGCACTTTACACGGTATTGCTCACAGCTCTTATAGTGACACCTTGGAACTTGACAAGGCATCGCAGTCCGTTCGCAATATACGTATCTGTAGATGTAGACATAGACATGTATGTGTATGTGCATGCGCTTGTTTATGTGTATGTCTGTCTGTATGTATGTGGGTAGTTCGCTGAATTAGGATCCCTTTTGGGCGACGTACTTTTTGGTGGACCTATAAAGGGACCCTGATTTAGAGAATTACCCACGTATGCATGTATGTATCTATGTATGCATGTGTATATACAAATATGTGTTTATTTATATATATATATATATATATATATGTGTGTGGGTGTGTGCATGTGTGTGTGTGGATTTGGGTGTATATGTACATGAACATGTACATGTGTATGCATCTGTCTGGTTACAAAACTCTATACATGTATATACATATATACACACAGGGGTAGTTGTCAAAATTAGGGTCCCATTTTGAATACCCGAAGTAGTTACGGTCAGTGCAACATGGAGCAATCAAAGTAGGAAATCCGAAGAGGTATGTGGGTGGTTGTCACAGTTATGGTCCCTTTTTGGGTCCCTAATAATAATATTATTATTATTCTTCTTCTTATTATTATTCTTCTTATTATTATTATTCTTATTATTATTATTATTCTTATTATTATTATTGTTATTATTACTATTATTATTACTATTATTATTGTGAAATCCTGGGGTTCTGTATGAACGACTTGTGTACAGCCAGGGCACCCTCATGAAACCTCACTTGTACTGATGAAGCATGCTAGGCTCAAGGAGAGCATCAGCATTAGGGCTTCACGACTTGCAGCAGAGACAAGCACCTTTAGCTAAGACCAGCTGGTGTTTGTGCGTGTGTTCGGAAAACTGCGCTGTTGTAAGACTCCCATGGATGCCTCGCTTTCGATTTAGGTTGCTGTCACGGAGCTGTTAAGACGAAGACGGTTTTCTGTTGAGGCGACGCTTTTCGGAAGGAGGCGGCAGTTTGATATGGAGATTTCGGGAGCTTCAGCTGGGATGAACCCGAACCGGGAAGATATGCCAAGCTACGGAAGTACAGGTGGAATCCAACAACGTGATGATCAACAGGTTATGGGAGCCCAATCCACCGCAACCGCAGCGCCGGAATCGCGATCTGGAGACCAGAACGAGACGGACGTCTCGCGTGGATTTCTGGATATGGATGGCGAGACTACCGCAGGTCGTGTGGATGAAGACAGGAGCGAAGGGAGAACTGCGGGGGTTGAACCTGCATTGAGGAATCCTGGAGCACTGTTGAACGGATCCAGTGCGGCGATGCCAAAGGCGACCAGGCACTCGAGATTGGGTGCGTTGTTGTCTGACGTGTCATTGGCGGTGCAAGGAGTTGTGAAGGCCCCACCGGCAGTGAGAGTGCAGGATCCAGTTGAAAGAAGTGGCCCTGGGTCAGTGGGTACTGAGGGTACGGTGAGAACTTCGGGTTCAGGGTACGCTACTGCTGTGTCGGAAGGAGATGGAGCAGAACAGTATCTGAGGCCTGAGGCTGCCAATTCGGGTTTCCAGGCCCCTCTGTTTTCTGTAGAGCAAGCAGAGCGGCTGGAGACAATGGCGAAAGCAGCGCCCTTGATCTACCCGGAGGCGCAGGGTGTTCCAGAGATTCCGCATTCAGTGAGTTCGGGCTCTGGAGACGCCATTCAGCTGGAAGTCAAACGACAGTTGCAACAATTCATGGCTGTACAGGTAGAGCTTGAGCGTAGGGTAGTGCTTCTGCAAAGGGAGAACGAACAGCTTAGGCGTGGAGACCAAGGGGTTGGGACGGACCAAGCAGTAAGGGGTTGGCTGGGAGGTTTAGGTAGAGGTCTAATAGGTATGGTGCAGCAGTCTTCCGCGAAGGCTGGGTCGGCCGCCTTCCTCACCACAAGTGCCGTGGCCTCTGTGACCCAAGTGGGGCATGGACCGGTCCCGGGAGATGTAAACCAGAATGCCATGTACCAGGGCCTTACTTCAGGCGTCCCCCACGGGATTCTGACTCCCGCCCATGGTTCCGCTACCAATGCAGCACAGCAGGTTGCATCAGGTCAGGCGCAGGTCCCGACGCAAGCAGGTCAGGTCCCAGGTGCCCTCCAAGCCGCACAAGGTCAGGCGCAGGTCCCGACACAAGCAGGTCAGGTCCCAGGTGCCTTCCAAGCCGCACAAGGTCAGGCGCAGGTCCCGACACAAGCAGGTCAGGTCGCAGGCCCCGACGCAAGGAGGTCAGGTGACAGGTGCCTTCAAGGCTACATCAGGTCAGGCACAGGTCCCGACGCAGTCAGGTCAGGTCCCAGGTGCCCCGTATGTTGCATCAGGCCAAGCACAGGTGCCGAATGGAGATCCAGCGAATGTGTATTTGGGACCAAGTGCTGGGGGGGTTTCGGGACATCCACCAAGACCCACGCCACCTGTAAGTCCCTACGAAGCCATGATGTCAGGCATCGTACAGTTGCAAGGAGTCGTGGCGGATCTTGCCGCCACAAAGGGATCTTCCACCAGTGCCCATGGGCCAAGCACGGAAGTGGTCCGTCCGGGCATAAGTGAGCTCACCAAGCTCCCATCGCCCACGTTGGAGGGCGCGTTGGGATTTGCAGACTGGGTGCATGCCATTCGCCCGGCTATGTCGGACCTCTCCGATAGCTCGGGAGAGTGCTGGGAGCGATTGCTATCGGATGCACAGGACTGGTATCACAACCAGTATGTTCAGGCGACTCCGTTGGCCAGGGTCCGGACAAAGTATGCCACTTCGCCGGCAGAAAGAGATGTCCGATGGACCAGAGTAAGGCATCGCATGGAACACCTCATTATCCAGGCGTGTCCCGATACGGTGAAGTCTGAACTAAGTGCAGCTCGGGTCAGCGGTGTGATGAGTCTGTTATGCAAGCTCCATATAGTGTACAAGCCAGGAGGAGTAGCAGAGCGTTCGGAGGCTTTGAGGCAGGTCCAGAGCCCTCAGGCGGCAGACTCGCCGATCGATGCGGTCCTGAAGCTGCGCACGTGGCGCCGGTGGCTGGTGCGACTTACGGATTTAGGAGGTTCGCCTCCTGACCCAGCGGTGTGCATTGTTGCTCTGGAGGCCATCACCAACCAGGTGCTGAAGAGCCTGCCCAACTTGGGGTTTAGGGTCAACCTAGTGCGGGCCTCCCTCAATGTGGATACCCAACCCTCGACAACCAAGGTTACGGAGTTTTTCGAGCACTTGTTGGCGGAGCAGTGCCAGGTCTGATGCCAGTAAGGTGCGACAGGTTGAGGCCAAGGCGTCACAAGGTGCAACCGGTGAAGCAGCCACTCCTGCAAAGGCCCCGCATCCCAAGTCAACCCTCCCCACGAACTCAGGAGGAGATGCGAGCAAGCGTTTGTGCCGATGGTTTCATGATGGGAAGGGATGCCGCAAGGGTGGTGAGTGCAGCTTTGTGCATGACTGGGCGTCGATTCCCAAGGCTGACCGAGCTACGCGTTGCATGAGGTGCGGAGGCCAAGGACACAAGAAGGACACGTGCACGGCCCCAGCAGGCTCCCCGAAGGCAAGGTCTGAGGCAGGCACACCTAAGGCGCAACCCAAGGAAGCACAGCCAAAACCTAAGGCAGATGCAGGTTTGAGGAAGGTGCTCTCGGAGGCAGCAGGTGTTCTCAAAGAGGCGTTGAGGTCGGCCGGCAATGACAGTGAGGGGCCTCGGGAAGGTAGCTCTCCCAGCGCCAAGTCGGCTGGAGGTGGAGCAGAAGGGGGCTCGGCAGCTGCCAGAGCCGCGGCGGGCCCGCCAGTGATGGCGACAGCGGCTAAGATCGAGGCTCAACTACAGGACCTCGAGGCCCGCGTCCTCGAGGGCAATGCCAGGGTGCGCGCGATCTCAGCAGAGGAACCCACAGAATCCTCTGAACCCACAGCCCTTCTGGATTCCGGGGCAACGCATACGGTGTTGGACCCTACCGCAGTGAAGGCCAGTGATGATCTACTTCCCTGTATGGTGTCGCTAGCGGGCGACCAAAAACAGATGTGGAAGCAAACGCCAGGGGGTTCGCTGGTCGCCTCACACAGAGATCGGGGTGGGGAGACACAGACGATACTGCCTTTGGGGTCGCTGATAGAGCAGTTGGGGTGTAGTGTTAAGTGGTCCCGTAAGACAGGTTTGCAGTTGACGCACCCCCGTTTGGGGAAGCTTGACACCAGCATGCGCAGCGGATGCCCACAGATCAGCAAGCGCCAGGCTCTTCAGCTGGTTCGAGAACTTGAAGGAGCGCATGTGGGAGAGCTGGAAGGGAGGTTGCGACGCATCCAATCAAGGATCGCTGCCCAGGGCCATCAGGAGTTCCAAGCTGTTCTTGATGAGTTCATCTCCAGCGGCTCTCAAGGGGCAGCCCAGAAGCTGGTGGACAGAATGCCATACCTGAAGGACGTGCCCGCGCGAATCACCAGCAAGCTGGCGACCGATTTGGAAGCCGTTCAAGGATGGGAGTTGCTCAAGGCGTTGCCGCTGAACCGTCGGATGCGGAAGCGGTTGCACAACTCGTCTTCGTGGGTACTGAGCCTTTGTAGTGGACGGGGAGACCCAGGTTTGAAGGCTATGTGTCAGCAACAGGGTTACGACTTAGTGGAGGTCGATGTTTTGACATCCCGTGGATGGGACCTCACGGACGCCGGGTTGTGGCGAGCGATCACGTGGGCCGCCTACACCGGGAGAGTCGCAGCTGTGATTGCTGACCCGCCAGTTAGGTCCTGGCAGCGGATGTATACTTCCGAAGGCCCCACTCAGTTGCGAACCCCGTCAGCGCCTTGGGGCGTTCAAGGTCTGAAGGAATCTAGCCAGACTAAGTTGGACAATGATATCCTTTTGAGCTTGCAGCCGTTGTGGGTTTGGACCGTTGCTTCCGTGGCCAGGGGTCAAGGTGTGCCGTTTTGTCTGACCGAAGGGAAGTTTGCGGACTATGATCTCCAGGAGCAGAGGGAATCCGTCTTGGAGTTGTTTGCAAGGTGGAGCAATTGCAAGTTCTACAGTGCGCCCTGGACAATCAAGGGAGCCCAACATACCCGACCCTTGCAGGTGTGCACCAACTTGGGGTTTAGTCCCGATACCCTTAAGGGTTTAGCTAGCGCGCAGCCCAGACCGGAGGTAGCAACCCCAGCCTGGCCTGAAGGTTTCAAGTGGCAGTTGCGTGCAGCTTTGTTCGGGCAGGGATCCGCAGAGCAAGGTTCCAAGGTCAAGGTCGAGGCTTGCAGTCAGTTCCCGGGCCGGACTGAGGAGGAGCCAGGCGCGACGGCGGGCCCGAAGGGGTCCCCAGGTTGCACGGAGGACACAGGTCAGGTTCCTCACGTGAGGGCAGTGGATCCAGCCGATCCAGGTGATCAATCCGACCAGGAGGTCATGAGGGAGTTCGCTGCTGGGCCATTGGTAGGCGAGGAAGGTAAGGTCAGCGATTCAAAGGAGGCCGCCCGTGAGCCTGCCAAGCCAGAGGAGATACCTACCCTTACGCCCCAGCAAAGGGAAGGTTGGAAAAGGCATTTAGAGGCTCACCACATTCCGTTCCGCAGAGACTGTTTGCAATGCGTCATGAGTGGTGCTTTAGGCCTGCAGCACAGAAGAATAAAGTGTCCCAACATGTACGCTCTGAGCTTCGATCTTGCTGGTCCCTTCAAGGAGCTAGGCAGAAACGAGCGTGGAGGGAAGTACAAGTATGCTTTGGTTGCCGGGTTGAGGGTGCCAGCAGTAGCCCTTCCTCCAGAACCACCGAAGCGCGGGAGCAAGAAGGACCCACCGCAGGCCCCAGCAGGCCCCTCTGAAGACCAGTCTTCCCCGAAGGCTGACCAAGCCCCGTTGGTTGTCCATCCTGATTCCTCGGAGCCGCCGGAGCGTGAGGAGGACGAGAGGTCAGTAGCCAGTTGGTTTGATCCCTCAGACTATGATCCGGAAGAGTTCAGGGAAGAGGTAGAGGAACCAAAGGAGGTGGAAGAGGAAGGACCGCATGCTGCAACAGAGCCCGAGGACCCATGGGAAGACCACCAAGGGATTTCCGGTTTAAGTGATGAAGAGTTCGACCGGGAAATTGCCAAGTTGGGGTTTAGTGGGGAAAATAAGGTTTTGCGCTTTGTGGTGCCACTGCAGGGCCGAAGTGGAGCTCACATTTTGCCAGCCTTGCAAGAGGTCGTGACCGAATGCCACAGATTGGGATATCCCGTGAAGTCTGCGCACACGGATAGGGCAACGGAGGCAGTGTCAAAGGCCACAACAGATTGGCTGCAGTCGCAGCTGATCCAGCCTTCGTTCACCCAGGGTGACGATCCAAAGTCTAATGGGTTGGCCGAGAGGTTGGTTGGTTGGGTTAAGGCCAGGGCCAGGTTGCACTTGTTGGCGTCTTTGAGCTACGAGCACTGGCCCACCGCGATGGCATTGGCGTGTGCTGAACACCGCCACCAGACCCTGAGGTTGCCCGGCAGAGTGCATCAGTATGGGCAGCGTGTGGTGTTCAAGTCAAAGCACCCTACGGGGGAGTCAAAGAAGCCGTTTCTGCGATGGGAATACGCCACTTACCTGACCCCATCATCGCAGACCGACCTTGGTCACGTGTTGTTGCGGGAGTCTACGGGTGGCTACCTGATCGCTCGGAATGTGAGGCCTACGAGTGAGCTTGTGGATCCAGAAAGAAACCCAGAGGTTCAACAGGCGTTGGAGGCAGAGGTTCCCGATGAAGGTCCAGGTGACACACCGGAGGTGCTGAGACGTGTGACCGGAAAACGCAAGGTCAGAGCTGTGACCACAGCTTCGGAGGCATTGGCCGAAGAACTTCTGAAGGGAGCCGACTACAGCCCGGAGGCTTGTGGGAGATTGCTGCAGCTTGCCTTTGGAGGTGCCATTACCCAGTCACGAAGACAGCATAGGGGCTTGATTGGGTTTTCGGTTGTGCTTGGAGCCTACGGCCATGGAGGGCTCAGAGGAGTCACGCGTGCAACTCAAGCCCACAAAAGGCTGACCGCATATCTCAACAGATACCTACAGCAAGGAGCGAAGACGCTCACTAAGGCGCCGCAATGGTCAGCTATCACGGTTGTACTGGCAGATGAAGTAGCAGTGCATCGGGATGTAAGAAACGAACCAGGCACTACAAACTTCTTGTCGACAGTAACAAGTAGGCAGATGTGGTTGAGTGAGCAAGCTTCAGAAGGTGTTGAAGGAGCATGGAAGGTTGAAAAAGGGGTGACCATGACAAATCCAGGCGGAGATGAAGAGTTGGGCAATGAGTACCAATTGGGAGCTCAAGTCGTTGCCTTTGATGCCCGTCGGCATCATGCCGTTTCTCCTGCCACGAACTGGGTGATAGCTGGTTATAGTCCCCTAGGCACCTTAAAGCTCCCCAGCAAAGAGTTGGATTGGTTGAGAGAGCTAGGGTTCAGCCCGCCCATAGGTGCCCAAGGTGAGCAGGCACAGGTGTGCAAGCTGGTGGGACCGAACCCACAACGGATGCCTATGCCTCGCGCCAGACAGCAACAGCGACGAGCTGTGCAAACGAGGAGCATGAATGTTAGGTTTGCAAGAATCCCACCGGAAGAGTGGAGGGCTCTGTGTGAGCTCGATGAAGCGCAGTTTGAGCAAGGCATGGAAAGGTGGACAAGGGTCCTTAGCGGTGCAGATGAGGTCGGCGTGGGCCGCCTGCCAGCAGCGATCCCTAGAGGGTTGTTGGTGGGTACGCTTAGAGATGGTAGACAGTGGCATGATGACCCTGTTTTAGAGTATCGGCTGCCAGATGGAAGCGTGGTGCCCGTGGCCCGTGTCTTGCAGTTCACGGATGATGATAGCATGTACTTGGATGATTCCCCGTTCCCAGATCGGTTGATGATGTTCGATATCATCGATTTGGAAAGGGACATCAATGAAGTGATTGTCATCCGGGTCTTAATGGAAGAAGTTAGACAGGCACCTGAGGTGATGACCGAGAGGGTGTTGCAAGAGCCAGGTCCACTACCACCTGAGGTTATGGCCGTGCGCGCTACAGGCTTAGCGTCATCATCCAATGACCCGTTCAGCAGCGTTCCTGAACAGCTTCCGGTGCCGTTACCCAACCCTACCAGTCTGAAGCTGCGCACCGATGAAGCTGTCTTGAGTAAACCCCCACCAAGGGAGGAGCAGTTTGCGATGAAAGCAGAAGTCGCGACGACGGACAACCTGGAAGAGTTGCTAGCTGGACTTCAGGAGCCGCTCAGCATCACCCACACAGCCTCACAGTCCGAGGTCCGCCAATGCTTGGAGCGCTGGAGACCGTCGATTGAGAAGGAGCTGGGTGATTTGAAGAAGTCTGGAGTGTTGGTAAGTCAGTTTGGTCAGGAAGCCAAGGAACTCATGAACCAACCTGGGACTACCACGATACCCCTGAAAGGAGTATTCACAGCAAAGGGCCCATCTGCAGGGTCGAGTGCACTCTTTCGCAGGAAATGCCGTTTGGTCGCTTGCGGCAACCAAACTCCCCACAGCGACGCCGAATCGCTGTATGCCAGTGGAGCACCAGCAGAGTTAGTCAGGGCCTCTTTGATAGAAGCGAGCGGCCACATGTGGGGAGCTTACACATGCGACATCAGGTCAGCTTTCACTCTCACCCCCATACCCAAGGAAGCGGGCAGAAGGTACGTGTTAAAGCCCCCGAGGTGGTTGATAGAGTTGGGTTTAGCCCAAGAGGGCGAGTGCTACACTCTGGGAAGGGTTCTCTATGGGTTTAGAGAAGCCCCAGTCTGGTGGTCAGAGTTTAGGGATGAGGAACTAAAGAAGGCCTCCTTTGCCGGGTGTAGACTAGTCCAAGGTGAAGCTGACTCAAGCGTGTGGAAGATCATGTCAGGAACTGCCTTGAAAGGGTTCTTGATTACCTATGTGGATGACTTCCTGGTGCTCAGTGACGATGTTGTTGCAAAGGCGTTCCATGCTTGGATCCTTGAAGGGGCGAAATGGGAGACGGATGGCTTGTCGGAGGCTTCCCAAGAGTCTCCTGTTAGGTTTCTTGGCATGCAGTTGAAGCGGTACTCAGATGGAAGCTTCACGTTGGATCAGGAAGCTTATGTGGATGAGCTGACAAGGTCGCATGGTTTGACTCCGTCGATGAGATCTAAGATCACCTGCCCCAAGGAGTTGATGTATGGCTCGCCTGAAGAAGCCACAGAGTCAGATTCGGGCTCTACCAAGGATGCGCCACCGCGTGAAGATGAGGGCGATGTGACAAAGCAGGCCCAGCGCATAGCCGGAGAGTGCCTTTGGTTGTCACAGCGGACCCGCATGGACATTTCGTTCACAACTTCGGTGATGTGCTCGTTGGTTGCCACCGACCCTGAAAAGGCTCTGGCGATAGGCCGTAGGCTGCTGATGTACTTGGCCCAGACGAGAGACTACAAGCTACGGTTGAAGGGCGATCCCAATGCACCAGTCCTGCGTATCTACACGGATGCATCGTTCTCGCCGGAGGGACGACATTCGTACGGGGGACACGTTCTGGAGTTTAGGGGATCACCGGCGGTGTGGAGAGCAGGCCGGCAGCAACTTGTGGCAATGAGCTCGGCGGAAGCGGAGTTGATCCAAGTGGTGGAGGGATGCACCTATGGCGAGTCGTTCCTTTCGTTGCTAGGTGACCTTCAGGTGCAGTGTGAAGGTGCACAGGTTGAGGTCGACAATACAGCAGCGATTGCCCTGGTCAAGGGCGGATGCTCCCAGCGCACCCGCCATTTGAAGGTCAGAGGGGCAAAGTTGAACCAGTTGTTGCGTCAAGGCTGGTCCCTGAACCACTGCCAAGGTGTTTACCAGAAGGCAGACATCTTGACTAAGCCCCTCCCCTCAGCAAGGTTGCGGTTCCTGTGCGAAATGCTAGGTTTAGGCCCTGGTGATAGCCCTGAGCAGCCTAAGGTGCAGAAGGTGAAGGGAGTGAGTAAGGTGTTCAAGGTCTGCTTGGCAGGCTTGCTAACGTCACTTCAGGGGGTTGTGTGCAAGGGCGAAGAGTCAAAGCCAGCCCTCCAAGTGGAATGGCCTTGGGAGCTTATGCTTGCTGTGCTGTTGATTGTGTTGTCAACAGTATGCTTGTGGGAGACTCTGCGTAAGGGTGTCGGCGCAAGGACCGAGCAACGTGAAGACCGCCTGCCTCGTGTGAGAGCGGTAGCTGCTTCCAAGGAACGAAAGGCCAAAAGGTTGCAGGATCGGGTCACCGCAGCAATCAATGCTGCGGTTAGCGAGTCCAGTCCCACCGGAAGCGAGTCTACAGTGCAACCGCGAAAGGGCCGCAACAAGTGTCCGAGGTCGCCAGGGCAGGCGCCAAGTGCGTCGCCGCAGCATGCGCCAGCCGTGTATGGAGGGGTGAATATTCACCTGACGCAGAACCCTGGGGATCCTCAGGTTGAGACCACCGGTGCCCAACGACAGGGATACGGGGACCTGTTTCCGATACAGGGTTCATTTCCCGCCGGACCGGTTGGACCACCCACGAGCTACAGCCAACCGGTGCAGAACCCACCACCGTGCCAACTTGGCCCGTCATCAAGCAGTGCTGTGCCGGTTAGGGTTCCTAACGAAGGGTTTGTCCAAGGTCCGTCACAGCCCCGAACCAACTCCCAAGTGACCCAGACTGACCCAGTGATTGTCCTTCATCCAGAGGCTTCAGTGTATTCTTCGGCTGGTGGTCATTGCATTCATTGTGAGATTGGGTGTCGGGGTCTGAGGAATGCGGGTCATATCCACACAAGGGGAATCTGTCAGTACTGCCTAAGAAAGGCAGGACCGCGAGCTGGATTTTAAGTTGGAGGTGATGCTCAGCTGACGCTGGCATCAAGGAGGAGTGTGAAATCCTGGGGTTCTGTATGAACGACTTGTGTACAGCCAGGGCCCCCTCATGAAACCTCACTTGTACTGATGAAGCATGCTAGGCTCAAGGAGAGCATCAGCATTAGGGCTTCACGACTTGCAGCAGAGACAAGCACCTTTAGCTAAGACCAGCTGGTGTTTGTGCGTGTGTTCGGAAAAGTGCGCTGTTGTAAGACTCCCATGGATGCCTCGCTTTCGATTTAGGTTGCTGTCACGGAGCTGTTAAGACGAAGACGGTTTTCTGTTGAGGCGACGCTTTTCGGAAGGAGGCGGCAGTTTGATATGGAGATTTCGGGAGCTTCAGCTGGGATGAACCCGAACCGGGAAGATATGCCAAGCTACGGAAGTACAGGTGGAATCCAACAACGTGATGATCAACAATTATTATGGTCCCTAATATGATACGGCACCTATTAACGGAAAGGTCTATGGAAACTCTCGTAGGCTGCAGTCCAGGGATGTGCGGGGCCTTGTCCTCTGCCTCGGACTCTGCTTGGTGAACATACTATAGGGGTCTTAATAATTAGACTCGGGCTTGGGGGTCCTTTATACTATAACTATAATAAGGAACCCCCAAAGTAGTATAGGTAACTGTTTAAGCCCCTATAGTACACGGGTTTGGGGTTTTGGGTTTAGGAGTTGCTGCTGCTTCGGAGGCTTGGTGTCCGCTTTGGAGTGTAGGGCCTTGGGGATTCTTGGGCCTAGCCATGGGGCTTAAGGAAAGGACCCCTTTTGTCGAGGACTTGGGGCCTTAAGGTTTGGAGGTTAAGGTTCGGGGTTTGGGTTGAGGATTTAGGACTTCAGGGCCCTATGTGGCTTTCTAGCTTTGGTTGGTTCTTTTGCTTGGCTTCTTCCAGTCGTTGAGGGCCGAAGGGCGTTTGGGGGTCTTGGGAGACAAGAGGGGGCATATGATCTCTGCGCTCTTTGGGCTTCAGGGTGCGGGTTCGTGCTTCCTGCTTTAAAGGCTTAGCTGTCGTATTTCGGGGTTTGGTGCTGAGGCGTTCAGGAGCTTGGGGCTTAGGATGTTATCTGCGCTTTTCCCACGTACGGCTGGGCTGATGGGGGGCTCTGGGCATTCAAACATGTTTGGGCTTTGCGCTGGGGTTTGGAGTTCCGGTTGTAGCATTCAGGGGTCTGCACTATAGTCAAATTGTCTCTTCTCCCACTGCCCAGTTCAAGCAGTAGACCAACGCACTTCCGTTCCTGAAACCCCAAACCCTGAACAGCAGGCATTGAGTCTGTCCGTGGTCCCCGAACATGTGCAGAGTGTATAGGCCTTGCAAGCTCAAGGTCTCGGAGGGTTTAGGGTTTGGGGGTTAGCGTTTAGAGTTTAGGGTTTAGAGTTTAGGGTTCCGAAAGGGCATACAGCATACATCGGAGAATTAAGGGCATGAGCTCTGATGAGGCCGGTGCGAGGAAGCCGGTCGTGGCGACCGTCTCCTGGCAAAGGGTGCTCTCTTGGGTAACATGAGGGCCTTAATGATTAAAAGAGGGTTTTGGCCTCCTCTGCGGTAACCACGGAGGCTGCTACAGGTGTAGTATACCTTGGGGGGGTTATTGCGCAGCATCCTTCTGGCTTGGGGCTCGGGATTCAGTTACGACGGAGTTTGATGGCGGCAACGTCGTGGCAGAAGTAGAGGTGGCACTGCGCAACTACGACGACCACCACCTCACCCATCTCTTTGTTTCATAAAACCCCAAAGCAGTGAGAAGCCCGCAAACAGGAAGCACCTCTGGCTCACCAGCTTCCTCCTTGTCGTGTGTTGGGGGCTTTAGAGTTTAGGGCTCGGTAGGGTTTAAGGTGTTCAGGGGCCTGGGGTGTATAGAGATTAAGGCTTCCGGGGGTTAGGCGTTTCAGAGCCGAAGGGGACTGGGGCTGGCAATGTTCGCTTCAGAGTCTATTGGTGAAGAAAAGGTGACCATGTGCAGGACGATAGAAGTTGCTTTCTTGTGTTGCAAACGGGGGCCACATTGCAGGCGGCGGTATATCCATCACCAGCATTGACATCGTTTCAGTACCATCAGAGTTGCAAACTTGCTTGAACTTGCTACAGATAGCAGAAACAGTAGCCAGAGCTCCAAGTATCCAGAGCTCTCTGCACCCTTGTATCACTATTTGCTATGCTAACACTATGCGACCTCGTTGGAGAAAAGTACCACGATCGCTGCACTCAAAGAATTCTGCTCCTAGATCAGCACACCAGCATTTAGTACCATACCAGAAGTACCACGATCCTTGCGTTCTTATGTTGTGGCGCTGCTGATCTAGTGAACCGGCATCTTCTTGAGGTCTTCCTGCCGCAGCTAATATGCTCGCTCTGCCTGTCCTGTTACTCGTGGTTGTGTTACGAATGCTAAGATTTCTAGTACTCGCCTATTGTACATCATTCTGGGAGTTATGATTACTAGCAGAAGTCGTCGTCGTGGTCGTCGGTTACTCCGTTACATGACCTGCCTTAACGGACTTCAAACCCTCAACAGGGCCCCAAAAAAGCACCTAAGCCAAAAAAGGATAGGGGTATCCCATATGAACAGCCTTAGAAGGAAGACCGATAAAGGTAGGGATATCCCAGACAGTGCTTATGCTTATGTGCTTCTTGGGTCCCTAACTCAAGCAACCCTAAACCCTAAACCCTGACCCCTAAACCCTAAACCCAAAACCCTTAAACCCCTAAACCCTCAACCCCCCCCTAAACTGTCTGCCTGGGCGGTGGACTCCATTGGGCTCTCGACGCCGGTCGATCCTCTGGGGCAGTCCAGGTGACTGGAAGACTGAACGCCACGGAAAGAGTAATCTAGGGTTTAGGGTTTAGGGGTGCAGGGTTTAGGGTTTAGGGGCATAGGGCCTAGGGTTTAGGGTTTAGGGGCTTAGGGTTTAGGGAAGAGTAAGACGGGTGCCGGAAAAACTAACCCATGCTCTTCTTTTCGGAGGTCGTGATTGGAATCATGGTATAATATACCCCAAACCCTAGTCTATATTACGTGATCAAGGATCTGAACTTGGAGCTGGGCCTCTCGCGTGGTCACAGAAAGGAAAGAGGCTGGCAGAAGCATGCACCTTTCTTTCGCGGAGCCTTTCAATGACCCAGAGAGCCCAATACCCTGTAATTAGGGAATATAGCTTAAATCATAATTATATCCCCTTATAATTTAAGGTATACTCCTTCGTTAAGGGGTATTGGGCTCTCTGCGGATTCAAGAGGCCTGAACCTCAAACCCATCTACAGCTCAGGGCCTGCAGAAACATCCCGAGCTTTGCCGTTGCCTACCAGACGAACGGAACCCTGCAAGGATCCCCAATCCTTCCACAGCCACAGCAGCTGGGTGCAGCAAAGCAGGAGCTACGAGTTGGGGTCAAGGTATGGCTGACACCGAGATTTGTGAGGCCAGTGTACTGCTCAAGTCACTGACGTGCGGCTACGCTCTCAGGTACAGCGACATACATAAACCACGAGACGTGTCCAGTCTTGTCCAGATAGAGCAAAGCAACTTTAAACATCAAGGTGGGCAGGTGTGCATGGCTTTGCTGAGTCTGAAAAGTCTCTCAGATTCCTGAATTTGAGCCAGTCAAGTCACCGTAATTAAGAAGGGTTCGAGGCTGATCATATGCATTATGACCATGATACCAATACTGGCAGTAAGAATATTGATACCCATTGTGACAATAAACAGTAGTAATCGCAACAACAAAAACACAATGATAATAAGAACAACCACAATCACAACCAAGAACAACAGCAACAACAACAACAATCACAAGATCGATTATAAGACCAGGAACAAGAACAATAAGAATAGTAACAGGACAACAAGAACAAGAATAAGAGTAAGATTAAGGCCAACAATACGAATAGTCATAACATACGAATAGCAGCAATAACAATTACAACAAGACCAGACAATACTAACAATAAACACAACAAGTATAACAACAAGACTAACCGTAGCAATAACAAAAGCAGTAACAGTATCCACAAAGAGTCAATAAATTCAAATCGGATGTGCGAAGGAGGCAGTAGTCGGTGCTCCCAGAACCTAAACCGTCGACCCTAACCCCCGGAAAATGAAGCAATCCACCATTGTCATTGTATAGAACTGTATAGTATAGCGCAAGACCATATAAGATAATTGGTACAAGACGGTGCAGTAGTAGACAAGACAGTACAATACAGTTCAATGCATCACGAAATACCATAGCATAACGTGACACAACATGAACAGAAAATACATACCAGTTTAGAGATAGAATAGTACATGTGTGCCCGAGGGTGCTACTTGGCTCAAAGGACTCCCCCCACGTCCTCATGAGCCCGTCGTGGCTGGTCCCAAGCTGCCTCGAGGACAAGTGAAAACCCGTTTTCTAGGGGCCTTGAGAATTTGATAGCAGGTAGTCTAAGGATAGTAATAGTATAGGTAATTATTAAGGCCCCCAAAATCTCACAAACACTGAACCCTGAAGTCACGCTTTTTTGCCGGATCTGCGGCCCGCTGCAGCGCAGGACCTTGGCTTTGCCAACGCCCCGGCGCAAGGCGCTCGAGGGCGAGCGCTCCCTGGCAAAAGAGGGGCTACCCTCTCGCAGAGACCTTTCGTCGGACGCAAAAGACCTTCGACAAGGGTGACTGCCAGGGCAACTATGAAGGGATTCTGCTGGAGAGGCTCCGGTGAAAGCTACTATGAGGATTTAGGGACTTCGAATCATGGGTTTAGGGTGGGGTTTAAGAAGTCCAAGACTTCTGGCTGAAGGACAAGGTATCCTCCTTGACTAGCTCCTCTGGGCGGTCGGGGGCCGTCACAAACGAAAAAAGCAACTGACCTTTCCACTCCACGACAGGCCTCGCTAGGGAACCCCGCAAAAGGGAACCCTCGGAAAGGGAATTCCCGACAGCCAAACTGCGCTTGGCAGACTCTCAAAGTCATAGGGACCCTTAGAGGGCAGGAGGGAGGGGGGTAGAGGACTATATTTCCTTAAATAGGCCTTATTAGTCCTTATTACGGGCATTACGGCCCCTACCCACCCCTCCCCTACCCTCCTAAGGGTCCCTATGACAAACGTGTGGTGCACAGCAGGGCCCACTGAATCTTCAGAAATCCGACTCTGTCAGACACCGCCTTGTTGGGCGTTCGGCCCCGCTCAGGGTTGGTTTAGGGTTTAGGGTTCAGGGGTCTAGGGTTCAGAGGTCTAGAGTGTAAGCTCGCGTTGTTTATTATATTCATATTTGTACTCGCGGTTGTACATGAACTTTGCTCTTTATTTGCAACGGTGCTTGCGTTTACATTGTCTACATCTATAAGTATACACACATGTGTGTATATATATATATGTGTGTGTGTGTAAAGATGTATATATGTCTATATGTCTATATGTCTATATGTCTACATATCTGTGTATATATATATATATATGTATACATATATATGTCTATATGTATCTATGTATCTATGTATCTATGTATCTTCTACGTATCTATGTACCTATGTATATGTGTATATGTGTATATATGTATATATGTATAAATGTAGATGCGTATATATGTATATATGTATATGATATGTTTTTGTGTATATATGTATATATGTATGTGTAAATGTATGCGTATGTGTCTGTTTACGTGCATGTGTATGTGTATGTGTATATATATATATATATATATATGTATATGTGTGGGTTCATGTACCTGTTGCCAGTTTCGGTTTAGCGGTAGTGGTCTCCATGCCCACGGAGCTCAGTTTCCACGTCCCCGGGCCGGGCGAAGCGACATTTTCTTGCATCAGCAAACCACGACCTCTTGATCGTGCGGCGCTCCACCCGCGCGCCGGTGCAATCTGTAGGGGCTCACGGCCCAAGGGCTGCTGGGAAAGTCGTGTTTGCTCATGGCTGGTCCTAATAACGACCAAGGAAAGTGAAGTTCCGTCGGATCGTCAGCTGCGTGGCGTGTTGGGACGCAGGGCTCGGCTTCTGGGAGCTTGGTACCAGCAGTCCGCATCCGGGCAACGATCTCCGCGAGCCTGTGCTCGCGAGGGCGAAGACGGCAGAGCCGAATTTAAAATTTCCGTGGCTTCGGGGCAAATACTGCCCTGAACCCTTAACCCTAGCATCCCTAAACCGTCACTCCCTGTTGAAGCCAAAGCCGTGCTGCTACGTCTACAGAGTCTACTCTCATTTCCCTACCTGCCTACCTACCTACCGACCTACCTGCCTACCTGCCACCACCACCACTACAAATATTACTACTCCTGCTGCTGCTGCTGCTGCTGCTGCTACTACTGCCATTACTACCACTACCACTACTACTACTACTACTACCACCACTACGACTACCACTACCACTACTACTACTGCTCCTCCTCCTGCTGCTGCTGCCATAGGCACAGGAGAAGCATCCCTGATCATCCTTCTCCTCCTCCTTCTGCTCCCCTGCTTTTGCTGCTGCTGCTCGGCTCGGCTACCGCTTCGAAGCAGTCCACAGCTCCTCTGCCGCCAAGCTGATAAGACCAGAACCTGTCAAGCGGTACCCCGCGTTTATAGAAGAAGTCAACCGTAAGCATTGAACCCATGTCCAGAAGCCTCGTACAGCCCGTTGCACAAGCTACAATGAGGCTTCGCGCATACTCACTTGGTTGTTGCTCCCGTGCTCCAGCTTGTGGAAGATGTCCTGAAAGCTCCGGTCGACGTGGTCCCGGCATACACCTCATTTCGGGCTTCACAGCTTCGGACAGCTACAAGTACGGATTAGGTGACTGGTTTAGCACTGGCTGCAATTGGAATGAACATCTGAGGCTTCTTGTCCTTCTGTTGTTGCTAAGACTGCTAGAAGATTTGGCATCATCCTTCCGCGCTCGGAGTACGTCTACTGTCAGTTGACTTCGTTGTCAGGACTAGCGGTGCTGCTCCGTTCGGAAGGGATGTTCGCCGGCTTGGCAAATACACCACTTTGAGACCCCATATCCCACTGCCCAGAGCCCTTGTCGCCTAAGGCGTCTTTGATGTGCTTGCGGAGCTCGCCGTTGATTCCGTCCCAGCTCTTCCGCTCCTGCAAGGGGCCAGGGCTCGACTCGAGGAAGAAGCATGATGATCGCTACAACAAGACAGTGTAAACCAGTCATAATAATATGGATAATATTGATACCACGGCTAATGGCTGCTAATAGCACTACTACTAGTAATAGTAATAGTACTAGGAATAGTTATCGTAATAATTATAGTCATAGTTGTAGTAATCGTAATCGTAGGAGCAGTTGTAATTGTAATCGTAGCTGGTCATAGTAATTGCAATAGTAGTCAGAAATAGTAGTAACAATAACAATCATATCAAAATAATAACAGACGATGACCATGGTGATGGTCGTGGCGTTTCGAAAAACGCCTACACCGCAACTCTTTCGCCATGTCGCCCTTTCCCACATCCCCTGTCCGAAGTTCACGGAGAGGCTAGAGCGCAGAGAGCTTTAGCAGGCTCCTTGAGGATCAGCTCCTGGATCTGCGTTCGATCCTGTGTGACGCGTAGGGTTTCGGGCGTTTCTTAGATGTGGCGCCTGGGCTCGGAATCGTTGTCAGAATGGGGTTCTCTTTGGGGCATCTTGCAGGACTCAGGAGAAAAAACGGAGACTGTAGGGGAATCAGCACTCAGACCTCTACAGGCTACGACTTGAAGGGCACCATGTGGTGGCCCGGGGCTCCACGCAGGTCTCCAAATAAGGCTTACGCATGCAAGAGCTGAATAATTGGGAATACTGTCCCTTAGGGTTCCGCGTTGTAAGAAAGATGAAGTGTTGCCACAAACTTTTGTCTAAGCATTCAGCCATATTGGCCTGTGGCTTTTTGGCGTTGACCTGATCGTCACAGTGTCGTTTCAAAACACGTCGAAAGGCGCGCAGACCTCGACTGTGACGATGAACACGTCAGGTGCTGAGGATGCCCCTGGTGGTCATTCTGATGCATGAAGTGATGATAACCATGGACAACAGCACTCTGGATGTTCCATGTATATACAAGCAGAGTTGAGTCATTGTTTCGTTGTTGCTCGTGTCATGCTGTCTGTGTGGCGATCATGACTACTGCTGCTTTTACTACGAAGTAGCTGCCCCACGCTCATTGGTAGCGGGACAGGGGTTGCAAACGGAGGACGCAAACAACTTACTTAGCTGTATTTCCGGGATGTGGTGGCCTGACTTGGCAGTAACCCTTGCAATGTAGACACCAAAGGACCGGTAGTGTCGGTACAGAACACTATAGCATCAACAACCATCAGAAGCACAGCAGTGGTGATAACCGTGACGGTACTAAGAGCGAATGACAATCACAGGACCGCAACAGTGAGTGCGAATAACAAAACCAAGACGAATCAGATGAATCAGCCGCTTTCACACGTTTCAGCCCATCCGACTCCGACTCCTGCTCTCGCGTCGCACTCGCATTTTCGAGGGACAGGGAGGACAGCTTCTTGCCGATGTTCATGGCCTCGGCTCCAGTGTCAATCCTAACTCGAACATCAACTAAGGCACAGCAAACCAGCGGTCAAAGGCACGGCCACACTTGTGGCCAGCAACAAGGTTGTCGTCTTCATCACCAACACTAAAATCGTCCAAACCAGGAACACGTTCATGACCAAGAACATGACGCACTGTTGATTGTCATGGTGAGCATGACAACCATGATGAGCACTGGCACGCATCACCTTCACTGCGTGCGCTCTGCCGCTGTCATCAACAACAGCAACCAAACTAGGTGAAGTCTCGCAACAACCGCGAGAAGCTGCCATCGTCTCTGCCATCATTAGCGGCCCGGTAGTCCAGCGACTTGCAGATACAAAAACGAGTCATAGGTGAAGTATGAAACACAGGAGCTTACGAGTCAGGACTAAAACGATCCCAGACTAGCTACGAAACAGCTTTCATGATGAGGTCAATATTCTGGCGACTGCTTTCCAAAAGCTCTTGGAATCCGTAGTCAAGTTTGACTTACAACAGGTTTCGGAATAAATGACTTGATTGGAAGAGACCACCGCGCTCTCACATAGGTTGGTAGTGAATCCCTGAGCGATGCGAGTACATGAGAATAGCAGTCGAACGTGGAATTAACAACCACAGCCACACCGACCGCAGCCACATACTCATAGCAGTGGACATAGCAGTACCAATCATAAGAACAAATAAGAAGCAGCGGTAATAGTTATAATAAGGCATCACCAAACGCCGACGTTTGGCGAATCCCTCGACCCCAAACCCGAAACCCACAACTGACAACCCTAAGCTCTGAAAACCGCGAACCCTGACAGCCCTGAACCCTGGACCCTTAACCTCCAAACCCTAAACCCTAAAACCTGAACCCTATACCCTGAACCCTAAACCCTGAGCCCTAAAACCTGAACCCTAAAACCTGAACCCTAGAACCTGAACCCTAAACCCTCAATGCAGGCAGTTTGCCACTTCGGTGGTCGACTGGCCCAGGTTCAAAACCCCGGTGTTCGTGGCGAAGCGGAGGCCGTGGAAGTTGGGCCTGACTCGGTTTAGCGTTAATCTGGGGGCCTTACAGTAAACTCCATAAAGTTGGAAACCGAATTAAGGCCAAATAGTGCTGGGATTCCCTATACATTAATCTTACGGATTGAAGCTATTGGGTTTCCAACTTTTGGGCTTCTACCATAATTATTAATTAGAATAAATTTGTTTGGGCCCATTAGACTATAAGTATAATAAAGAGCCCCCAAAATATTATGGGGCTTAGAGTGAGCCCTTGAAGGACCTGAAGGACCCTTGACAGGGATGCCTTACAGGAACCCTTAAGGGTTCTTCAATCACTTCCTTCAAGTCCCACTAACCTTCATGGGCTTCATAAAGCCAAAGGATACCGGGGGGTTTAGGTTGCCTTCATGCCTGGGGGTGTAGTTAAGGGGTTTGGGGCTTTAACCTTTAGGGTTTCGGGTCTCGGGTCCTCCAAGGGGGTACCGCTGAAGGGATCCTCTAAGGGCTCCTTTAAGGGATCCTCTAAGGGCTCCTTTGAGGGATCCTTTAAGGGCTCCTTTAAGGGATCCTCTAAGGGATCCTCTAAGGGTACCAAAAACTTCACGGGAGGCCGGGAGTTTGGACCGTGCACTGGGCAGGCGCTCCTCTGCCGCTCGAGGTTCATGGTCTGCAAGAGCTCGAAGAGGCACCAGGACCTCCGACAGCTGACCATGTACCATAATCTAGAAACATTTTCTATAAATCTACTTTCATGTATTATAATGAACTGTATAATATACCGTTATATACCATAGCATACTACAGTATACTATCATTTACAAAAAAAATTAAGGAATATATATATATATATATATATATATATATATGCGATATATGATATACTACAATATAATATGATATGATACTGAAATATGCTATAACATATACAACATACTACGATATGCCATAGTAAACTATGATATACCATAGTATCTGAATATTATGAGGCTGTGTCGCTTTAGTGTGAATCTTCTGGGATCCACAGATCCTTCAAAAAACTTCGGTCTCAACACCGACGATCCAGCAATCCCAATGTGGCACAAGATGTGGCCGGCATAAAGCAAGAAAACTGTTCTGGAAGGTAAAACCTTCTTGAGACGAGGCAGGAAAAGAAAGATCTTGCATAGGATTTCCAGACCTCCGTTGCTCAGAAAGGTCCATCGCATGTCTTTCAGGCAAGGTGTCGCAATGTATGTCTAGGAGGTTCCCTAAACCCTAAACCCTAAACCCTAAACCCTAAACCCCAAACCCCAAACCCCAAACCCTAACAAGATTAGGGGCACCCTTATTTTAGACTCTTTGCCTCGCCGCTGGCAGGCGGCAGATCCCGTTTGAAGGTATCTTAGTAACTAGGGTTCCTTAAAGTGCTCCTTTGAAGGGATCTACAGGGGGTCTCTATTATAAGAGGGGTTTTAGGGTTTAGTGAAAGGATCATGGGACTTAGTACCTTTTGCTTGCTGCATCCCCTCCTGTCACAACCCATGGGGGGAGCCTCGGCTATTGCCCTCCACTCCAAGACAGCGACGGTTTTTTGGGTTTAGGGCTCAGGGTTTAGGGTTTAGGGTAAGATGAGTCCTAAACGGTTTCGGGTTTAGGGTTTAGGGTAAGATGAGTCCTAAACAACGGTTTAGGGTGTAGGGTTTAGGGTAAGATGAGTCCTAAACAGCAGCAATAAGCGTAAGAGCAATGCGGGTGCAAGCCACAGCATCCTCGCATAGCTCTGACCATTCAAGAAGGAGGCTTAACGGGGATTAGGGCTTAGGTGCTACGAGAAGAGCCAGCTGAAAATCACCAGCCGAATGGGCTTGAGAGGCGAACATGCGGGGTTCGAAACGAAGAACGAATCCCAGGACCTGGCTGCCGAGCACGGCAAACAAACGCCCAAGGTTTTGGGGTGTGTGTCGTAAGATGCTACACCATACAGACTACAACACGCTCTCGTATAGCACATAACCTACTACGAAAGACACATATGTTTTTGTACATAGACATACGCATGCCTACTATGCTAAACGATACTATATCCTTTGATCTACTACACCAAAGTACCATGTGCCATAATTTTCCTAGTATAATAGGGCGTCGCCCGGGCCTCGTCAAGGGAAGCGCTTGCCTGAGCAAAGCTCGGCGGAGGTGCTTCGAAGCCCGGCGGGGTCCCGAAGCGCTTCGGGGATACGTAGTTTAGGGAATTAGGGTTTAGGGTTTAGGGTAGATTAGGGAATTTGGACTTAGGGAGCTTTGAGTTGAGAGAGCTTCGAGCTTCGGGCTCATCCTCGTTTCTTCTCTTCGCTTCTTTTCTTCCCTGTGTTAGGCCCCAGAAAGGCGAAAGGGGAAATGGCTCGGCTCCGAAATCCTGAAGAGCTCAAGGCCCCTGCTCCACGGAGCTCAAGGCCCCTCTTTCTGCCAGTCCCGAAGAGTAATACGCTATTGTTTATTCTCCTTGAATCATAATACTGTAGTACTGTAGTTGCCTTTGAATGGCTACTATCTGTATAGTATATAATCCTTCATCCTTACAACTTCTATCCCGGCCCTTACCCCACATATCTCAACTGGGTCAGCTTGCTCATCCAGCACCATGACAGTGCCCACGACCCACTCACTGTGAAGCGCCAGGTAGAACGACGAATCCTCGTGAGAGGTTCCCAACCTTAGACGTGGGGACAGGGGGTTTTTGGTGTCCTGGCTGCTTGGGTTTCGGGTCTAGAGCTGCTTGCGTTTTAAACAAGTTCAGAGTGCCGTGGCCACATTGCTTGTCATACCCGCTGCATAGCCAGATTATCTCGAGATATCTCAAGGTGGAGGGCCTTTGGCGGGGTCAATGTCCCCGTCGACATGAGGAACCGGCTTGAGATCTCGAAGAAGGGCTTCTGGGTTTCTTTAGATCCCTTAAAAGGGACCCTTAAAGGAAAGTTCGGGCTCGCATGGGAAGGACAGAGGCGGCAGAGTGCAACTCCAATTCCAGCCAAAGAGGCTCTTCGTCGATCCGGTACTGGTTGTTGCCTCGGCCCATCTCTTTGCTCATGTGTTGGGCTTAAGGTTTAGGAGTTTAGGAGTTTAGGGTTTAGGGTTTAGGAGTTTAGGGTTTAGGAGTTTAGGGTTTTCAGAGATTAGGAGTTTAGGGTTTGGGGTTTAGAAGTTTAGGAAGCATCATAGACTCTTGGCAGATGAATATCCACAACCGAGCGAAGCCCTAGAAAAGAATAGGGTTTGGGCGCCCATTATACTATAGTTATAGTAAGGAACCCCCAAGATAGTATAGGCAAGTATCAAAAGCCCCAGAAATTCTCCCCACCGAGGCCGGCGCTGAAGGCACAGATCCAGTAGGAGATGGAGCCAGGACTCTTCCAGTCGCTCGCTCTGCTCACCGGCGAGCTCGTAGCAGCCTTGGCGAAGCACAGGGGCCAGGAGGGCTGTAGGGTTTAGGGGTTTAAGGTTTAGGGCTTTAGGGGTTTAGCGGTTTAGGGGTTTAGGGTTTGAGGCTCGGGTGTTCAGGGTTTAGGGCGTTGGAAAGTCTTGGGCGATTTCGGGCTTTGGGCTGAGGAAAGCTTAGACGTTGGGGTTCACGCTTCAAGAGAAGCTGGCAGCTCAGGAAGTCCAGGCTTGCTTTTTGCAGCCCTAAACCCTAAACCCTAAACCGTTTCTGCATGCTCCGCACCAACCTCGGCTCATGGTCTACCTAGCAAGCCCCTCTACGGGCCAAGGGTGTAAGGCTTCCTGTTTGGGGTTTAAGGTTTCTGTAGCCACTCCTCGAGCCTCGGGGCGGGAAGCTTGGGGTTTGTGATATGAGAAGCCTCATCTGAACAGTAAAAGACATAAACGCGTGAAACAACAAGCATGGCGAAGTTAAAGCTGAGGGTTTAAGGGTTTCAGGCTTCGGATGTTGGGGCTTGCAAGCCTGGTTGCGATGGACTTCGACGCCTCGTCGGTAATCGTGATCCGGCTCTGAGTGATCAAAGAATCTCTTCCCACGGAGTTGGCGTGGAGTTTCAAGGCTCTGACAGTGTAGGAGAAGTTCGTGCCCCAGTAGTGGGACACAAACCTTGCGATCAAACACAAGGAGCGGAACAGGCTAACAGTCTGAGGCTCTTCATTCTTCTACGGCCTTAGAATTTAGGGCTTTGGGGTTTCGAGGTTCGGGGTTTGGATTGTTGAAATCTCGTAAACTCTTCGCCTCACAAAGATCCAGGACCAGGACTTCTCAAGGATGAAGGATGAGCTTACCTTTGGTTAGGTGGGAATGGAAGAATGGTAGTAATAGTAGTTAGGGTTGTACCGCATTCCTCCATTCCCTACTAACCAAAGGTAAGTTATAGGATTATTAAGCCCCTATATTATAGTACCCTTATAGATCCCTTATAGATCTTGAGCTTAGCAGCTAAGAGGTTGCCCGGCCACTCTCCGGAGCGTTTAGGGTTTAGGGTAAAGCTCAAAGGGGAAAAGGAGGGACCCTTAATGGGGACCCCTACCCTATAATGGGCTATATAATGGGTATATAACAGCTATATTAAGGGTTTCTACCTTGGGGTCCTTATTAAGGGTCCCTCCTTTTCCCCTTTGAAAAGCGTCCTGAAGGAAAACCAAAAAGCTAAGACTCACAATCACCACGGCAGCGCTGCTGACAACAACTGCCATCAAAATAGCGAAAGTAACGAAAGCAGCACGCAACGCAGCCACTCTAGACGAGCAATAACTATCAAAGAAGCAATGATAAGAAAAGAAGAACAAGTCCTCTTTGCCACACCTTTCCGTCGCTTGGCCTCAACAACTTCCTGAATCAAGATCTCACAAGAGCACCACAAAACTCGTAAACTTTGAACCAATCGACCTCAACGTGCGGCTCCCAAACCCGCATAGGCGCCCCCGACCTCTCGTCGTGCCAAGCCCCCATGTCTCCCGCTCCCCAAGACTAGTTCATGGTTGAGAAAGGATTAAAAGCTTAAATTTCTATTCCTTGTTGGGTTTATGTACCCATAAAAATATAAAATGTTATGACAAAGAAGAGAACAAGACCGAGTGGCCAGTCCACGGTCGAGGGCCCCACGAACTCGGCCAGAGAGAGATGGCAGCTCCTCAGCGTCAGGGCGGAGAAGCCAGGCCGTCTTAAAAGGGGGTAGAGGTCTCGGAGTTAGAGATTTAGGGAGGTTGGGGTTTAGGGGATTTGGGGGTTTGGGAGGTTAGGAGTTTAGGGGAGGGGGGGATTAGGGGCTTTGGGGGTTTTGGGTCTAAGGGGTAGGGGTTTAGGGGTTTAGGGGTTTAGGGTTTAGGGGTTTAGGACTTTGAGTTTAGGGTCACTGTATGGGGATAGGTACAGTGAGGGTTCAATGTTTAGCGTCTGGGATTCCTGGACGGCCACACTGGATTATGCTCTTACTGCCCCTATCATCCCTCAGCCGGCCCTCTTCTCAGCCGACGCAAAAACACACCAACTGGGCCGTCACCCAGGCGCCTGGTCAGCGGCCGCACGATGTTGCTGTCCACGTAGTACAGGTTCCTGTCCTCATGAAAGCTCGTGACATGGACTGGCCAGACGGACGTGATCATGCCTGAAATATCTAAGAGGCCTTTGTCCATGCTCATACCGCCGAAGCCGTGGGACGGTAGCGTTCCCGATTCAGGGTTCACCGTCGGATTAGGGGCTTAGGCAGTTAGGGTAATTGTTGCAAAAAGATCGGTCCTGGATGAAGGACTTGAACTCCTCGTACCTCGGGATTTGTGACATGACAACCAACCAAGCATGAGCAACACGAGGTCAGTCAGTCAGCGAACTCGAACATCTGCAACAGGACTTTTATGCGGGTGACAAACGGTAAGAGTCGCTGCCACTGGAGCACGGATGATGCCAGATCATCATCGATATCACCATCATCAACAACGTTGCCATCACCACCGTCATCATCACCTTCATCTGCACAATCATCATCATCATCATCATCATGACATTCTTCTTCTTTGTTTCATATAACTCTTCATCTTTATCGCCGTCTTCGTCTTCATCTTCACAGTCGTCATAATCATGGCATGGTTGAAACACTGGAGCCAAGCGGCAAATCCACAATCTGGTTGATGTTCAGGGCTCTTTCCGCGCCCCGCTTGCAGGCATGCGGCGTCGGGTTCACACGGTACACCTTGCCTTCGCACGACAGACAAGATGAAGCACAGAGGCAGTCAGTGCACTCAACCCAGTTCTTGGCTTGTACTAGACAGCTGGTGCAATGCTTCGTGTCTCCTACATCCAAAACGAACTACGAGTAACTGATTCGAAAGTTGAGATGAGGGCTTCTGGAAGGCATGGCCTAGCAGGGTCCACGAAACCGGCCATGCTGCTCTTGAAGCGATCGATCTTGTCAGATATCGCATTTCTCGTAGTCATGCCCATCTTTATCATCTGCGACCTCGGGAATTATCACGGTGAAGAATCACAAAATTAAATTCTTAGTCATGGAAGCATTCCGCTAGCTTGAGATACAGGCCATGGTGTCAAAGTCTTGGGTTTTGACACCATCACAGAGCTGGAAGGAAAGCGTCGTGGCTGCACAATCTTTGGCCAGGAAACCCACCAAAGGCCAAAATGAAGGTGATCAGCCAGGTGACCTGAGTCTACGTCTCTCCATTGCGAGTGAATGCATATCTTTCATCGCTTTCTCATCCCAGTCTAATGATTCAACAAATACACAACAATCAACACCTTGTTTTGAGTAGATCTCAAGACAATTCTTCAATATCGATGGCGACTCATGAAAAGATGAGTTCCAGTTCTACAGGTACAATGGTTCAATAAATCTAAGTACTGTAAATGCCAACACATTAGGAAATTACGTTCATTACCTGTCATTATCTAATCTTACACGAGTAGCATTAACGTTATTGACATTCGTCGTTGTGGTCCGACATGAGTAATTAATCATGTGTTTGCTTATTTGTGTCAGCCAAATGTCAATGCTTGAATTCTTGTCCTAAATCCTAAACCCTATAGTCGTGATTCGGGCACGAAAGATGTTTGAGGCCGCGGCTACCACCACACCACCGTCGATGGGGATGCGTAGACGGTCCTTGACACGGTACTAAAACAACTAAACTGAAAGCATAAATTCTGCCTAAAACAGTGCAAAGCTTGTCAAGCCTAGAATCCTCAAAACAGCAACCGGTACAAAACAAAAGATCATGCAAAAACGAAGAGGCCCCGGCCCTGTTGTGGCCGAGGCTGCTTCCGGGGTGCGGAGGAGTAGAGTAGCAGCGGAATGCCGCAGATGATCAGCAGAGAACCGATGATGACAACTGAGCAGCGGTTGTGGGGTTTAGGGCCTTTTTTTGGGCCGAGGGTGCACTGCAGGGTCCAGGGTTTAAGCCTTCCGATTCTTGGCTTTTGGGTCGAGGGTGTTTCCGAGTTCAGGCTGTTTGCTTGAGGGTTTGGGGCGAACGGCTCCAGAGATAGAAAGAGAGACAGATAGATAGATATAGTTTCAGATATGGAGAGAGATCTAGAGAGAGAGGCAGTTCCATCAAAAAGAGGATCCGTTCCGAAGGCCTAGCGTCGGCTCAAGGACTTCCAAGCTCCGCTCGAAGAGATGCAGCCCGGATCTGCGAAGTGGTGCCCTGAACCCTGGATCCTACTTGGAGGTTCATGGTTAGGTATAAGTAGGGTTATAAGTGGGTTTACTATAGATATAGTCCATATTAAGGGACTTACAACCCTACTTATAACTACCCATGAACCTCCAAGTAGAAGCATCCCAAACCTCGCCCAAAGGACCGTCGAATCCCATACATCAGGCCCCAGTTCTTCCAGATTCAGCTTGACCGCTCCTGGGCCGTGCCCTTGGCGCCAAGAGCTAAAATCCTCGAGCCGCTTCAATCTGAACATCGATTTCAACAGTCCCCAAAATTAGTTACAATGAGGCCTCCATAGTAGGCAATTAGGGAAGTTCGACATGATCTCAAATCGATGCGGGAGGTTCCGAATATAGGGGACCCATATAGAGTACCCTAAAAATAGTAGGATCCTTACTCCCAAAACAAGGTACCCCCCCTTTTTTTCGGAAACTCCCATACCTAGCTCAGCCTCCGCCCCCCCCCCCCCCAGGGGCCCCGAGGCCTGGAACGCCGAACCAGGTGTTGCTGTGGAGCAGTGAGCGATGAGCGCTCAGAATGATCCAGCCGTGTGAGGTCTCAGCGCCTGTGCGGAGGAATTTTTTGAGTTTAGGTTTTGGCGGTGTGTTGCTGCACTCTGCATCGCAACAATACCGGACAGTCAAGGGGCACATGCTGTCATCATAAGCATCTTTCCAGGACGAATTCTGCGGTGAGAGCTTCGGATTCCCTCACTCCCCCCTACCCGCGAGCCATGAGAGCGACCTCTGAAACACCTGAAACCACGCAGGATAACCACAATCACTGAAAAATCCATATTAAAGGACTTACAACCCCACTTATATCTACCCATGAACCTCCAAGTAGCCCTATAATATCCTTTATACGGACCGTATATTATGGGCCTGAAAATAGCCCAAGTAGGCTCAAAGCTTCAAACTTCCAACCGACCAGGTCCCCGACTCTCTCTCTGCACCGGCTCCCCAGAAAGCGACAGCAGCTGGAAGCTCCGCTTGGAGTGATACTTCAGCCGAAACCTTGCTGAAATGACCCCCTTCTTAGGGTTTGGGGTTTGGGGCCGTGACTTCAGCCGAAATGATCCCCTTCTCAGGGTGTGGGGTTCAGGGCCCTGGGGTTTTGGGGTTTAGGACTTAGGTGTTGCTCTGGGACCCCCCTTTTTTTAGGAACTTGCCTGGGGTTTAGGGGTTTACGGTTTAGGGGTTTGGGTTTGAAAAAAACAGCTCAGGCCGAAGCCAGAGGTCCTCTCCGTCGGCGCCCCTTGGAATCAGGGTTGTTTTAGGGCTTACTTGGAGGCTCATGGTTAGTTAGAAGTAGGGTTATAAGTAGGATAACTATAGATAGCTATAACCCACACAAAGGGACTTATAACCCCACTTATAACTACCCATGAACCTCCAGGTAGGGCTTTTGCTCCTTGGGTTCAGGAGTGCTTCGGACCTCTTTGAGAGTACAGAGCCGTGCGTTGGTTGGGAGTTTCAGTGCAGTGGGGTTCATGGCTGTCGGTGGGCTAGGAGCTTATGCTGTTATGCTGCACTACACTACCTGTAGGATAGAGCGAGCATACACAATCAAACAGGATCTCATGTATACATATATGTACGCACATGTTGCCTGTGGCGACATCATGCTATGTGGGGTTCAGTGTTGTCCTGCATCCCAGCGGCTTCTCCATGCCAAAGAGATCCGTCCGCCGGAACATGATTGGAATGGTACCGAGTCCTTGGGACGCTTGCGTTTGGTGTGTACAGTCGAGGTTCGGGGTTTAGGGTTCAGAGCTCTTTGAAAGGGCTTAGGGCCTTAGGGTTTTGGGCTTCGGGTTTACGTGGAGGCAGATAAGGGTTTAGGGTTGAGGAGCTTCGGGGATTCCCGAAGCTCAGGAGTGTATCACCAAAAGCTGACTCCCCGAAGTCTCTGCGCTTGCGAGGACATCCGGAACACTTGTGGGCTCCCCTCTTGCGGGGTCCTTGTGTTGAGGATCCTTCTAAATCCCATGTCTTGGCTGGGAAAGTCACGACGATTTCTTGGCTTGTCTCTACGGGTCTCCAGGGCTTTAGGGTGATTTGCCCGGCTCCGGCATGGCGCACCGCTGTGCCATGGCTTCGAACAAGTCGCTCTTGGACAGCTTGTGCTCACCGACAGTTGTGACGATCACATGCTTCTCGTCCTGCGGAATCTGAGGCATGAAGCTTTGTAACACCTACCGGAAATCATGCGGCCACCTACGTAGAGATCTTCGGAAAATTGCGCATAATAGTGCCGCCGGGAGCTCCGAGGACGAGGACGAGGACATGTTGCTTTCCCCGAGCTCGGAGCTTCCTCAATACGCTTGCCTTTCCTACACCTTCCGTAGAGTCTGCAGGCGCCTTAGTAATCTAATCAGAATAGCGTTTTGGGGCCCGTTATACTACACTTATCCTAAGGAACCCCCACAATTTTATAGGAAATAATTAAGGCCCGTGTAGTAGATCACCCAGTGCAAACCCCTGACGACCGGCGCAAAAATGGCGAGGGAGACTATCATTTCGGTACACGGACCCTTAGGGAGCCATCTCCTAGACCCCCCCCGACTAGCCTTCATTAAACCCTATAGGCCCTATAAGCCCTAAACCCGGCTCCTCCACAGAAGACGGCTTGGAGGAGACGTCCTGCGCTGGGCTCGGAGGGCCGGGGGCGCGGGGTCGTAGCTCCTTTTGATTTGGGGGTCAGCGTTTAGTCATGCAGAATGAAATGGAATATTGTGTAGTCGAACACAATAGACTGGAATTTTACATAATAGAGTTGTATAATACAACAGAATACAGCATAGCAAAATGGAATATAACATGATAGACTGAGAGATAAGAGAATATACTGCAATAGACTATAAGATGATAGAAGTTAATGTGCTAGAATATCATATGTATTGTTATGCTGGGGCTGTCAGTTCCTCGAAACCCACTTTCCCTGTCTGCCTCTACTGGCAAGTGAGCCGCCGCAAGTCGCAGAGGCCAGAGGAAATGAATTCTGAACCTGCGAAACGAAGTCTAGTACTGACACGTACCAAAGATGGGCTCCCAACGGTGCTTCTTTTTTGTGGCTTCAGTGAATCAGCTGTTCTGAAGTTCTCAGTGACAAAAACTATGGCTGTCCGAAGGGCCGCAAACGCTGAGAAGCAACCATAAAGGAGCCAGCCCAAACAGTTGGAATCAGCGAACACCCCAAGTCTCCCCCCGGATCCCCCAACCCGGATCAAAAGAATCAGCCAATTCCCAAGACCCTGTAATCCTCGACCGAGCTCACACCCCCAAAGCTCATCCCTCAAACTCCGCCCAGGAGACCCTTCACTGCGAACCCCCAGAGCCCCCGCCGCTCTCGTAGGTCCTCAATGGCGATCTTCCGCCCACGGATCGGGAACTTGAAGCCTCCGAGGGAGCTTCCGGCATTTTTGAGTACAAACCCCGAAGCCCCGCGATCTTCTCTCCGGCCTTTGTTGCTGATATGTACCTCCAGCTGGTAGCAGAACATGGCGCAGCCGAAAAAGATGTAGGTAAAGATCGCGAGGATCGCCTTCACTTGGGTGCTGGGCTCCCGGGCCTCTTGGAGTGCCGAGCCGAAACACGAACGTTTCGATATGCGAACATCCGGGGCGAAGATCGCAATTATGCATCTTCAACCGTCGAACGCGGCTGCTCCTCCCGCTTTGTGAATTGAAGCTTCTGGGGTCCGGAGATAACGTCCCCAGAAAGGACTTCTTAAGGCTATCCCTCTGCTGTCACTGCAACTATGCTAAAACGGCTCGCAGCAGTCTGTGAGAGTAGAGCGACTGTTGTGTCAAGCGGTGCTCCTCCTCCTCCTCCTCCTCCTCCTCCTCCTAATCCTCCCCGGCCGCGGTCACTGTTCCTCCTCACTTCTCAATGAAGACTACCGAGGTCTTGTTGCCATTGAGCAGGAGTACCCGCAGTAGTAGCAGCAGGCGGCGGCGGTGTTGCAGTGGCAGTAGCAAAAGCAGTGGTTTAGGGTCTAGGGTTTAGGGGTTTAGGGTTTAGTGGTTTAGGGTTTAGGGCTTAGGGGCGTCAGTAGTAGTCGTCGTGGTAGTCGTCGTAGTAGCAGCTGCGTCATTGGAGTAAGAGACAGAGTCGTCGTCAGGCTGGCAACTTAGCAGGCACCGTCATCGACGGTAGCGTTTGCTTCAATCTAATACTACTTACTCCTCGAGCTGACTATGTGGCTTTGCCGGGTTGGGGCTGAGGACTTAACCATTTCCGTCTTCGTCTCCGAGGCACCAGTGTGTTCAGAAAGTCGAACTTGCAGCCGTCCCGGCTTTCATTCGGCACCTGAGTTTTGGCCGACACTTCCGGATAGAGTTGTAAAGTAGGGATTCGCGAGCACAAGTTTCAGAAACCTTTCCTTCACGTGTTGAGGAAACCCTTCTCTCTACAACCCCAACCCTACACCCTAAACCACAAAAAAAACCCTAGAGACCCCCAAAAAAAAAAACAGGACCCAAGGAAAGCGCGCGCCCGAAGAAGGCGCCTCCCAAAACCAGGAGCAGGGCTGGCAGCTGCCGCTTCCCACGCTCCAGAAGTGCTCCGGGCCTCGGTTTCGAGGGTTCTCTCAAGGGGCTTAGGGTTTAGGGTTTAAGTTTTTGGGTTTTGTGGTTTAGGGTTTAGGGTTTCAGGGTTTAGGGTTTAGGTTTAGGGTTTGAGGGTTTTGGGGTTTAGGGTTTTAAGGTTTAGGGTTTAGGAGGCTTCTCCATGGAGGCTTGGTGAAAAGGGTTTATAAGGGGGTTGGGGTGTTTATGTGTGGTTCTTCAAAGCGGCTCCGTTCCAGAACGGGTTGAAGGCTCTAGCGGATACTGGGGGTTGAAGAGGGCAAGGAGCGCTAACAACCGGGATCCAAGGATTCGGCAAAGTAGGGTCCGGGCAGAGGGGCTCAAGGACTTCGGTGAAAGCGCGTCGAGGTTTCTCAAACGGCGTAAGCTTCAAGTACCCGAGACCTCGAAGGTTCTGCGGGTTAAAACATTTGCCACCAGTATCATGAACAGTATGTAGGGGCGTTGAGAATTGGAATAGGGTTTTGGGGTATATTATACTGCAATTCATAGTTATCCCGAGAGCACAAATCGTCGTCGGAGCCCCAAAAACGGCGCGAAACCCGCCGGTACTTTGGGGGCAGTCCGAACCTCTGAAGATGGGTAGTCCTCTGAATCAGGATCCGCTGTAGGGTCCTTTTCTAACGGTGCCGTAGCCGTAGACATTTTGGAACCCACAAGGGGGCCCTAATTTGGAGAGCTACCCATCTGCAAAGGGATGCGAAGCGGATGATCGTCGTGCTTCTTTCCCTGAGTCCCAAAGCCATGCCACGAACCGCTTCTAGAGTAAGGAGTGCCGCCGCGGCAAATAAAGGGGCCTATATGATTACCTTTTGCCATTCTTGAGGGTCGTCCCACCCGGGGTGTCGGCTTTAGGCTGTCGGTTTCAGTTCAGAGGCTCGGAGGCTGGGAGTTCAGAGCTCTACACTCCCCTTGCCGCGACTGCTGGAACCCAGGTAGATTACTGCTCTCACCAGGAAGTCAACAGCTGAGGCGCACTTGATGACCACGTCACCAACTGCGGTGATGAAGTCACGGTCTTCGCAGAGCCTCGAAGAGACGCTCACACGCTCCTTTGCCTTGGCCTTGCCCTGACCTGTTCAGAGACACCAAGCCCCTACCGACCCTTCAGGCAAGGTGCAGTTGAGGGCTGTACGAATAGCTGACTCGACACCAGCAGAGCTTGTACGTGCCAGCTGGCATTCTCCTGGGACACAGGTCGGTGGAAGATCACGAGGGGCGTGAGATCACCAGTACGGATTGAAATAGAAGTTGCTGAACTTGTTGTGCTCTGGCTTAGGTACTCTGCGAAACCCGTGAAAGCCATTAACTCCTGGTGTCCTACCTAACACACAAGCTATGGGAGCACTAGACTACCCAGATCTTGGACTGCGAACTACAGAGACTACTAGAAGCTTGCAAATCGATGAGGGCAGAGGAAGCCTTCGTGTCCCTGGCTCGCAAGCATGCTAGTGTAATTGCTTCGTATTGTTTGCTCAAACCCTTGGCCTTAACCTGGAGTTCTAAGCTTTCACCCCGAGATCGATCGCGTCTTCCCGTCCTCTGAACCCGAAGGAGTAAATGCCCTGACCGGAAGAGATGTGAGCCAAGATTCTCATTTTCTTGGAGCTCGCCAAACGAAAAATTCCTGGGTCATCGCGAGTCTCGTGATGGTAACGAAGACATAACACTCACAGACAGTGCATGCGACACAAAGGTGTTCCCGTTCCTTCAGGCTGGCTGCCAGGAATGCGGATCTTGTTTTTGCGTTTTCTGCTGGGCAAAGTAGGTTTGGCCATGCTGCTTACAGGCTCACTTCTTACAGTGGTGCCAGTACAGCACTGTGCTCATTCATAAGACCTCCAAAACTCATCATGGCCACAAGCACCTCGTCAAGTCAACGTGAAGAAGAGCTCAATTAAGGCCAAGATTTTCGAGTCGCCAAGGACCCCAGACATGACAAGCGAAGCAGGGGTTGGGTGTTAGGGCTATGGGGTCTACGGGGTTTAGGGTTTGGGGCTTTTTCGGGGTAGTTCAGGGCTACACAAGGGTTTGGGGCCGGGGCCTTGGGGTTTCCTCGGCGATGGTGTCAACGACGACGGCGACGACAACCCAAGAGCGAGAAAATGATGCGATGATCCGTGTCTCAAGTTGTGCGAAAGTTTGTTCCCCATCATGCCAGCATCCGCCGTGGCACCTGCGAAACCCCAAAACACCCAATCTTAAACAGAAGAACCGAAGCATTGAAGCCGTCTTCAGTGCAAGGTGCTTTTCATCCGAGACCTGGCCCCAACGATCGCGCCTGGGCGGCATGGATTCATCGCTTGCATAACCCTCTGTGAATCTTTCGGGTTTGTCTCTCGGTGCCCTGGCATCATGTCGGATTTTGGGTGTAGAGTTTAGGGGTTTAGGGTTTAAGCTTCAGGGGCTTCGGGACAGCAAACTTTGGGGGCCCCGGGCTTGGGCAGTGGAGGATGAAGGGTTGCAAGGATCTTAAGATTTTCTATTCTTTCAGGCTTGGGATCTGCCTGAAAGAGGAGGGCTTACTGTAGGGCTTAGGGTTTAGGGTTTAGGGTCTGCAACTTCGTTAGCGCTCTGATGTCCTTGTGGTGGTCCTGAGGCTGCGACTCAAGCGAGACGGCTTTGGCGTAGACCTCCGCACCCTCCGTACCTTGGAGGGCTCAGGTGTCGCTTGTGAGATTGTTCACGCATCAGCTGGAGTGGCGGTTTATAGCTTAGGGCTGAGTTTAGGGCAGCGGGTTCAGGGTTTTTTGGGTGTGGGCTTCGGGTTTGCTGATAATCATGCAAGATAAAATTGCAGGCTTCCTTCGCCCTGCGAGTCAGTTTCGGAATTCCACATCAGCTATCTGGTCTTTGATCACACAAGCAACAACCATGATAATGAAGACAGCGAAAACAATAGTCGCACACCTTTGCCGTGCTCTGCCACGCAACCTTCTAGCCCACCATGTCACTATGCAGGCCGGTACAATCAGAAACCCGCCTTCCAACCCCAAATCTGTCGGATTCTGTTACGGTAATGCCACTTCCGAGCCGAACCCCTCATAAACCCTACCCCTGCCCCGACAAGCCCTACTATCCCCAATCCGAAGCCCTTCAAAACTCGCCTGAATTTCGGGCCGAAGTGCAGCTGGACTGGAGACGGAGCTGGCTCTCGCCCGTGACGAGGACCATGTGCACACTCACTGTGAACTCTTCCTCGCCCAAGGTTTGGGGCCGTTTAGGGTCCAGGGCCTTTTTAGGGTTTAGGGCCTTTGGCGGTTTAGGATTTAGGGTTTAGGGGTTTAGGGTCAAGGGCCTTTTTTAGGCTGCGGATCTTCGACTATATGGCAGCATGGAGCTTTGACACACGCCTGATTTCAATCTAGAGATGCGGCAGCAACAGCAGCAGCAGCAGCAGCAGCAGCACCACCACCACCACCACCACCGCCACCACCGTCGCCAAGACTGCTGCTGCCGCTGCAGTTGCTGCTGCTACTTCTCCTCCTCTTACTACTACAACTACGACTACGACGGCCACCGCAGCGACGACGACTACTACTACTCCTATGAATACTACAGTCCTCCTCCTCCTCCTCGTAGAACTACTGCTTCTTCTTCCTTTACTACTTCTTCTTCTACTACTACTCCTGCTGTCACAAAATCTGTATGCATCCGCCTAGCCTTTGGCCTCAAACTGTCAAGTTTGCACACTGGCACCGCAGTCCGAGGGGCCCCAAACTGGGCATAGATTGTCTTGCGCTCCCTCACCTGAGGACCCCAGGTTCCGGATTGAGTTTGGGGTGTATGGTTCGGTTTGGGGGTTCAGGATTCAGTTGAGGTTCTGCTTCTTCTGCAGGGCTTCTGCAGGATTGCCGCAAGATGTTCGCAAGCACAGTCCCGAAACGTACAAGCCTGGAAACCAACCTATGACCGAGCCGGGGAGCAGGACCAGCCAGAACAAGTCCGCCTGCCGAGAGGTTGTAATCCTCCAGAGACTCGCAGGCGCCTTCTGTGCCTGAGGCTCATGCTTAGCTCTTGGGCGTCTGTGGTGGCTGTCGCTGCGGTACGTACAGCTGCTATCACTTACATGCAGCGTGGACTGGGAACCGTTCTCCTGCTGCAGTTCTCGGTCTCCCTACTGTTGAAGTCATCCCTGCAACCGGCTCCAAGTTGAAGGACTGCTCTCCCTACGATCCAGCCAGGGGTCTCTTCTCGCACCAACAGAGGCTGTAGATGCCAGGATCTCGCGTCGCCATGTCGGTCCGGTTGGTGAAATACACACCGCCGAGATCGGGCTGCCTCGGACCAAGGGGAAGAGGAACGCTAAGCACACAACATCCTGACGGAAACCGTGGAAGTAAACACAGCGGTTACAGTAGCAACAATAAAGGACATGCACTAGATCTAAACACAGCTGACCACAACGGTCACGTTTACAATCACACACCGCCAGTTTCTACTGCAACAGCCACTACCCCTACCCCGCGCTTGGATGACGAGGACGACGAGATTACCGAGCCACAACAAGAAGGGTGGCAGCATTAATCAAGGCCTACAGCGAACAGCATGGAAAAAACTCCTGAGAATGTTCGGGGGCCTGGAAACCTCGGATTCTATGGATTCTTCCCGCTCAGGTCCCCAGCAGCAGGAGGAACTGGCAAATTGTGCCGGTCCCCCTGCGAATAATGCTTTTTAATCCGAGTGTTGAGAATGCAGCATGTTGCCTGCATCTCTCTTGCAATGACTTTTCAAACTCCATCCCCCACAACTCATGTCTTCGCGCTATCGTGCATGGGAATACTTCGCGCGACACCCCTCTACCCGAGCGCCGAACTTGGCTCACCCTGAAAACGAAACCCCTGCCTGCCGAAACCAGAAAACCCAAAACCCTTGAGAAAAGCCCGATGGAACCCTGAAAGGAGCCCTTAAAGGGCTCCTATGAAGACATCGCTCTGCAGACCGGGTTCCAGCCAGTGCGGAAATGCTTCCGGAAGTCCGGGGGGGTGGCGTGAACCAAGTCGCAGGGCAAAGGAGTGACCTGGCACATGCAGGGTTAGGGGTTCAGTGTTTGGGGTTTAGGGTTTAGGGTTGAGGTTTAGGGTTTGGTTTAGAATCGTTGAAACAGGACTGCTTGGGGCCTTGAGGGCTAAAGTGGGCGTTTTCGGGTCTCGTTTACCTGACAGGAAGGCATCACTCTGCGGCACAAGCCCTGCCTCCCAAGGTACTGTAGCTGCTGTGCTGTCGTTATTGGTCTCGGACTCTACAATCCGAAGACTGAGTGTTGCCGGCACCCCGCGCTCCTTTCTTCTGGCATCTCCTGTCCAGGTTGCACCCAGCTTTGAGCTGGGCCTCCCCAGAAACCTCGCCGCGCAAGCTCGGAAGCAGCTATGCACAGGTTCTGTACAAGCTAGGCCCCTTTGCAGGCCCTGTACAAGAGGGGCTTCTGCCAGGCTGTCGTCGTAGCTGAGCAGCCTTATGCTGGCAGAAGCGAAAATCTTAAGAGTTACTCATTTGCCCTGCTGCATCATCATGGATCGCTTCTTCTGAGTCTTCTGCATCTGCGTCTCCTCATCGCCATTAGGCTTCCACAGCCCTCGGTGCAGGACTTCTGCCGCTGCATCATGAACCTTCTCCCAGCCGTGGAAGCGGCCGCGCTGGCTCAGCGTGCCGACCGCATTAGGAAATGCGTGATGGACGTCGTGGAAGAGCATTTCGTTCCAGCGGTGCTTTCCTCCCAGCACCATGGCCATCACGTTATGAAGGACAGGCCAGGTGCGGCCGGGATCCTGTGCGAGGAACTCGTTCCAAGGTAACGAGTGGGTAAAGTTGGTGATGAACATCCAGGCTGCGGAGTAGCCGATGCGAGCGAAGAAAGACACGGTGAACATGAATCGCCACCCCTCGCTCAGCGGACGTCCCAGAGGGTAGGTGCCGAGAAGCCAAACGCAGGCCCAGAGCGAAAGCACGAAGGCGTTGTGCTTGATGCGGCGTGGAATCCACTTGCTCCAGAATTCCTTGTTGCACTTGCCCCCTGCACCCTCGTCAGGAAAGTGCATCCACCACTCCAAGGCGAACAAGGAACCTGTGTCGTTCAGGCCGAAGAAGTGAATCACGGGGATGAAAGGCACAGTGAGCAGGTACTTGTACCAGTTGGAGCTCCATGGTCCAGCCCACTGCTGCAGAGCATAGTGGAACTCCTCGGGGTCCCAGCCGAACTCGCCCTGGATCAGCAAGTCCACCGTGGAGGCGTGATGCCTGTTGTGCTCCAGGACGAATTCTTCCCACGGGAGGGAGAAAAAGTCCGCAAACGGATGAGTTAAGAAGCGCTGCCACTCGTAAACCGGGAAAGTGGCGCCATGCATCACATCGTGATCAATGTAAATGTTCTGGATGGCGATGTAAGAGAAAGGGAGGCCGAAGCAAAGCGTGCAGGTCCACCAGTAGTCTGGGAAGCATGCCAAGGCCACACAGTAGCCGATCACCATCAGCACTTGGCTCACGAAGATTGCGGTGAGCACATTCCACATGTATATCATCTGCTCCTAATTTTGTGAAAAAGTGAAAGTGAACGACAGCAGGATGCCAAAGCCCTAGCTGCCTATCCTAACTATGGGGGGAAGTCAAAGAACAGCACGTCTTGGACAGCACATCACCAAAAGAAGAAAGGACACGAAAGTGAAGAAAGCAGGATCAGTACAACAAGAAAAATGAAAGATACCCTGCGCATCCAGAAGTACCGAACTCTCACGACTCCAGAAAGAGACAGCCGCCCCCGAGAGAAACACATAACAAAAAGAAAAGCTCAGATTTAGCCAAAGCTCCGGTGTGATCTTCGTGAACAAGAATGCCAGATTCTGCGGCATGGGGTCTGGCTTGTTCGGAGTGGGGAAGAGCCGGTTCGTCTTCAGGCTCCTGTTCTCGTTGTTTTTCTGAACGGAGAGCATCTTGTCGCTGCTCTGGGCAACGCCTGCTGCGTTAGGGTCCCCCTCGCCCGGCAGAGCGTTCTTAAGAGCTGCGATCTCCTTGGCTGACCGCTGAACCCCTCCTGAATGTTAAACTCTTAGCCAATTTATTGTAGTTCATATTCATATAGAAACCCTCAAAGTGAAAGTCCTAAGAGCCAACCAGAAGAACGCCAAGTCTCGTGGTCATGTTCGTACTTCTTCTTCCTTAGTCGCTGACTTCATAAGCCCCAAAACGTGCACAATTTCAGCTCTGTAGTGGGTAATGGTATCCCAAAAAGTGTAAAGTGTATCCACTCAGCTACTAAGCTTCAGCTCCTCGAGATACTCATCTGCTCCATAGAAGATCGATGCCTTGCTGTGGGCGGCCTTGCCCAGGAGCGGAGCGTTGGTCGCCATGGGCACAACAGCAACTGAAAACTGAAAACTTCGGTTTGACTTCGAGACTTCCAAAGTCTTGCCTTGAGCAACGCCGGGCTTAACCTTTTGGGTTCATACAAACAAACACAATACGAACAATAATCAATCATCATCATTCTCATGGTGATACTGACCATGATCATAAAGAACAAAAAACTGATACTCGCGCTATAATGAGAATACTAACAAGCGCAATGTAGGGTTGAGGGCTGAGTTCTGGAGATGCAGGGCTTGGCTTCACGGTATCGGGTGATCGGCTCAGCCCTCGAGCCCCGCCCTGAAAACCAGACAACAGCGAGGCCCGAATACATGGAATAGTGCTTATGGTTATTTTTCGTGTAGTTACAGTTAAAATAAGGACCCACTAAGGACCCCTGAGGAATAGGATTCGTAATTCCTTTTTCAGCACCTTTCCGTGTAGTTAAAATAAGGACCCACTAAGGACCCCTTTTAAGGAATAGGAGTCGTAACTCCTCAGGACTGAATATTGACCCGGAGACGAGGAACCCGAAAAAAATCGGCGTTTCGGGTTTAGGGATCAAGGTTGCGAGCTTCGGGCTCCGCCAAGCTACTTCTTGGAGGTTCATGGTTACATGTAAGTAGAGTGATAAGTAGAATAAGTATGCTTATACCCCGTATCACAGGACTTATAACCCCGACTTATATGTACTTCCAAGCTTCTCGACTCAGCATCTTTCGGCACATCTTGTGGCCATGAGCCTCTAAAGTCAAGCTTCCCTCCTCCAGTCCTGGAACCTAGGTACCGGGATAGCCTTTACAAGGAGCCGCTTGTGCAACGAATCCTACTAGCTATGCTTCTACTTTCTGAACTGTAATCGGCATCACAACGGCACTGGCACCTGCAGCATCGTTGTCTGTGGTCGCACACCGTAGCTGTTCCGAAGGAAAAACTCGCCTGACTGGTTCTTTATGGTGGTTGCGACTGCGTTTGCGCATGGCATTGTGTAGCACGAGGAAGACTGTTCACCGTATCCATTTTAATGCGGCGGTGATGGTGATGGTGATGGTGATGGCGACGGCGATGCTGATCAGGAAGGTGACGGTGATGGTGATTGTGATGGTGCTGTTGCCTTTGAAGACGGTGATGCTGATGCTGCTGATAGTGATGATGGCGGTGGGAATGGTGATGATGAAGAAGATGATGATGACCATGGCTGTAAAGCATAGCAGGCAGATCATGGATACCCCGACGCCATCCGAAGCCCATTGTGGTACGGCCGCCGAAAGTAAGCTGACAGTAGACAATAGTAGCCGGGTATTTAGACCCAGATAACGGAAGCCAAAAGTGTTGAATCCCAGACTCTACACTAGAGACCCATGCTAATGCTGCATTTGGGGCGGAGAAAGGACCATGCTATTTCGCCACGCAGCAATAGGGCGTCCCAAGGGTGCATGTGGTGAGCTGAAAATGGTCAGGGCCGATGATCTCCAATTCACCTCAGGCTTGCAAAACCCATATACACATGCATTTTCATGTACATATACCTATACATATATAGATAAACATGTGTATACAGATACACATGTACATGCATATAGCTATACGTATACGTATACCTATACATATACATGTACACACGTGTTCATAACATACATGTGTATAAACATATACGCATACACATATATGTATATGATAATGCTCCTAAACCAACATAACGTGCTGTTGCATAACCTGATACTATAATGATCTGACACAACATGACACATGTCATACCACAGCATGTTATATATCATAAAGTAGGGTCATACACAATGCCGTATAAAATGTATGTATATAGTTCTTATTTTAAAAGCATAATGTAATAGTTCATGAGATCATGTAAGATAAGACAGCGAGGTAAGACAGGGACAAGATCACATAAGGCAGGACCTGATGGTACGACACGATATCACACAATACAATACAATACAATACAATACAATACACTACAATACAATCCGATGCAATGCAATGCAATTCAATGCAATACAATACAAAACAGCCCCGGATAGAACAGAATAGAGCACGACAGATGGTCCCCTCTTTGGGCTTTTAATACAAGACGGCACCTAATATTTAGGGTACCCGAAAAGGGACTATAATCTTGACAACTACCCAGGTAGAAAGACTGAGGGCACCCCAAGCTCAATCCGGGAGACCGAGGGGTGTGGCCGTCGCGTTGCGCATGAAATCCTCTTCCGTGCACTTGCCTGAGAGTCGGTTTTAGGGCTTTGGGTTTGGGATGATGTAAGGTTTGGGAGTTGGGGTCTGGGGTTTAGGGTTTGGAGTGTAGGGCCTTTGGGTTTCGGATTTACGGTTTGCGATTTGGGGTCTAGGGTTTAGGGGTTTGGGATTTACGGTTTGGGATTTAGGGTTCCATCGAATGCCAGAACTCGACAACTGTCAAGCAGCACAAGATGATCGATACCAGTAATCTAACACTTTGTTGTCTGACGAATTTAGCTTTAAGAGGGTGAGAGTCATGATGATAATGCTCATACAGATGACGATGACGATGCTGATGATCTGATGATCAGATGACGATGATGAAGATGATGAAGATGATGTGTTGATGCAGCTGACGGTGACAACGATGCCGATTGCTATGATGATGATGATGATGCTGGTGGTGGTGGTGGTGGTGGTGGTGGTGGTGGTGGTGGTGGTGGTGGTGGTGGTGGTGGTGGTGGTGGTGGTGGTGGTGGTGGTGGTGGTGGTGGTGGTGGTGGTGGTCATCACCATCACCATGACGAACCATAACCGCAACGTTCTTCTTGTTCTCCTATTCGAACCTGCTGCTCTCCACGAAAGCGCAGCTCAGCCACAGAAGAGGTGCTTGCCCGAATTCTGCGGGCCAATGTTGCGGGTCCGTGCAATCTGCATGTGCTGTACCCTCTGGAATGGGCAGCGCCGCCAGCCTGTCCGGGATTCAGCGCACGACCTACCAGCCCTTGATTAGACAATGTTCTTAACTTAGAATAGTAGAACCCTTTAAGGCATATTCCTCAATTAAGGGATATTGGAGTATCTGGGTTCACTGCCCAGAACTGCCATTCCTCCGTGTCCGCCGCAGTCGGCTATGCCAGACGGGTCTTGCGCCATGCAGCAATGATCCGCCCCACCGCCACAGAGCCGTCCTCGCGTTGAGGGCGGAGGGTACAAAAAGCACGGTTTAGGGTCTAGGGTTTAGGGAAGGCGCCTTGGCTTCAAGTGTATGTTTTCTCCGGCGTTTCTGCTCAGATGAAACTCCAGCGATGTGATGCACAGCTGCGAAGGTTGAAAAGTCTACCAAGCCTCTTAGAGAGCTCAAGCTTGACTCAACAACCTGTACGAAAGTAACCTTGACCTCCGTCTGATCACGCATAGCCCATGTCAACAGAAAAGGCTCTCGCGATGCTACTGAAACGAAAGTTCCCGAGCACTCTGGATGCGAGCGCAAGATAACTGCATGAGGACTCGGGGAATTATCACACCCAAGGTCGCTTTAGGACCTTCTGAGTTTGGAGGGTGACCAGCGAAATCTGGCATGTCAGGCTGTGCTTAGGCGCAAGTTGCTGCACGGGACATTAGAGTAGGTCTCCATAAGTTGTCTGCTTGTAGAGGGGTTTCAGATAGATGAGCCACAATCACTTTGCCCTTGCTCCTGAGAAACGAGAGACTATCAGAGAGTCCGGGAACGCCTGTAAAACGCAAACAAAGATTCTGTGGTTGGGGCTTTCGGACAGATGAGGTTCAAGCCCGACGCAGGCTTTGGCAACTTTGGGTTTGGTATTGGGGTTATGGATCTAGGCCCAGAGTTTGGAGTTACAGAGTCCACGACCGCACAGAAACACGAATGGCCTGCACACATGGTGTGGTTGGGCGGACAAAGCAGGCGCTCGCCCTTGCCTGCAGGGTTCATGTCGCACTATGTCGCAAAATACTGCAGGTCGCAAAAAACTGCAGGTCCAGCCACATGCAAAGCTCTGTTTCAACACAAGAAGGGGTCGAATTTCACGACATATTTTTAGGGCATTTGGGGCAGCCTTCATCTACGCACACTCCACTGAGCCGAAAAATTCAAGACTCGGCGAAAAGGCAGAAAGAAGACCGTTGCCTTCCTCGGCGCAAGACCAGCGGAACGAGACGGTCCCGTCCTGCTCGGGGAGCTCGGGAGCTACTCCGCTACTGCTAGCAGTACCCAGAGAGCCCAATACCCCTTAATTAAGGAATATGGCTTAAATCATATTATGCGCCCCCTTATAATTCAAGGTATATTGCTTAATTAAGGGGTGTTGGGCTTTCTGGGTATGGGTTCCTTGCTCCTTGTCCTGCCATGGTTGCTCCCGTACTTCTTTTTTTTTTGTATTCTGCTCGTTCATCGCCATCGCCGTCGCAGAAACGAAATAATTGATGTTGCTTCGCCCCCTCGCTACCAGTACAGCTTTCATGCGATCCTCTGTTCACTATCGCCATGTGTGTGTCACAGTTCGACATGTTACCAGCAATCTGAATGCATAGATCTAGAATGAAGTTACTCGGTCCTGTATTTCTGTCTCCACAGATTCCTCTGTTCATGCATCGATTTGCTCCTATTTCGAGGCTAGCATCGGTTACAAGTAGAAGATACTGTGGCCTGTCTGCTGTTGACATGTTGCACATGCCTCGCACCCATGCTTGTCAAACCTCCCAAAACCCGAAACGCCCAGTATAGGGGCCTTTCTAATAACCTATTATACTATCTCGGAAGTTCCTTGTTAGAATTATGGCATGATTACCCCGAAACCCTATTCTACTTGTTTAAGGCGCTTGAAGGGAGCCGCTTTTTGGAGGAGATGCAGCGTGCGGAGCCCGGGGTCCTCACAGAAGACGCCTCCTGGGATGCCCGACGTCATTCTCAGGAAAGGACCTGCCAAGGGCATAGGGAATGAGGGAATGGGTACTGTTGGGGACGATTATTGGGGATTCTATAGGGACTGCTATAGGGATCCATTCCCCC